GGTGGACGAGGATGGTACCAACGGAGTGGAGGGACGAAGGAAGATGGGGAATCAGGAGTTTGCTTTGGGTGAACAGAGACGTAGAGACAGAGCAGCTGCCGATAGCGTCCTCGGATATCACTGCGGCCATCGTCCGGCTTCCGGATCGAAGACTGATAGTGGCGTCGGTGTACGTGCCGGTGCAGAGGCCGGAGATGCTGCGGCAGGCGTGCGACCTGCTGAGACAAGCTATCACGAATGTCCGAGGAGGAACAGGGGAGAGGGTGGACGTGGTTCTGGTAGGAGACTTCAACTGCCACGACTACCTGTGGGGAGGTGACGATGTGTCGGAGGGCCGGCAGGGCGAGGCGGACCCGATCATCGATCTAATGAGCGAGTACTCGCTCCGCAGCCTCCTTCCGCGTGGCACGAAGACGTGGGAGAAGAACGATGCGGCAACGACGATCGACCTATCCCTCGCGTCCGAAGAGCTAGCAAGAACGGTGGTACGATGCGGCCTGCACGAGACGGACCACGGGTCGGACCACCGGGCGATCGAGACGACCTTCGACATCGCCGCGCCTGAGATGGAAAGCCGGCCACGGCTCCTCCTCAAGAACGCCCCATGGAAGCAAATCAATGAGAGAGTAGAAGCAAACCTAGGGCGAATGCCAACAGGAGGTACGGTGCAGCAACAGACGGATCGACTGATGTCTGTGGTGTGCGAGGCAGTAGAGGCACTGACACCTACGGCCAAGCCATCACCGTATGCAAAGAGATGGTGGACGGCTGACCTCACCCAGCTCCGGCAGATCCATACCCACTGGAGAAACCGGGCGAGAGCGGAGAGAAGGGCAGGTAACAGTCAACCTGAACTGGAGCAACGCGCACGCTCGGCAGCCAAGCAATATCACGATGCCATCCGACAACAGAAGAAGAGCCATTGGGAGGACTTTCTGGCCGACGACGCCAATATCTGGAAGGCCGCGAAGTATCTCGACGCCAGTAAAGGGGCATCTTTCGACAAGATACCTCAACTTAAAAGGGCGGATGGTTCCCAAACGGGAGACGCCGCAGAACAGGCCGAAGAGCTGCTCTCCACATTTTTCCCTCCTCTCCCCAGCATGATCGAGGAGGAGGGGGATCGGCCACAACGATCGCCGGTACCCTTCCCTAACCTCACACTGGGAGAAGTAGAGAGACAGCTCTTTGCGGCAAAGTCGTGGAAAGCACCCGGAGAGGACGGTCTGCCGGTGGCAGTGTGGAAGCACACGTGGCCAGTGGTGAAGGAGAGGGTGCTTACACTCTTCCAGACCTCACTGGATGAAGGGGTGTTGCCGAGGCAGTGGCGACACGCAAAGATCATCCCGCTGAAGAAGCCAAACAAAAGCGACTACGGTATAGCGAAGGCCTGGCGACCGATCTCGCTTCTCTCGACGCTCGGAAAAGTGCTGGAGTCGGTCCTGGCAGAACGTATCTCGCACGCTGTCGAGACGTTCGGCCTCCTTCCCACGAGCCACTTTGGCGCTCGCAAGCAGAGGTCGGCAGAGCAGGCGCTGGTACTGCTGCAGGAGTACATCTACAGAGCGTGGAGAAAGAGAAAGGTGGTCAGTCTGGTCAGCTTCGATGTCAAGGGAGCATACAATGGTGTGTACAAAGAGAGACTACTTCAAAGACTCAGAGCGCGGGGGATCCCGGACAAGCTGGTGAGATGGGTGGACGCCTTCTGCTCCCATAGAACGGCAAGCATCCTGGTTAACGGTCACGAGTCCGAGGCTCGTCCGCTACCACAAGCCGGACTGCCTCAGGGTTCGCCGCTTTCGCCCGTGCTCTTCCTCTTCTTCAACGCCGATCTCGTACAGCACCAAATCGACGAGAACGGGGGCGCGCTGGCCTTCGTCGATGACTACACGGCGTGGGTCACAGGCCGATCGCGCGAAGCAAACCGTCAGGGCATCCAAGATATTATCGATCGAGCACTCGCGTGGGAACGACGAAGCGGGGCGACGTTCGAGACGGACAAGACGGCCATCATCCACTTCACGCGCAACTGGAGGCTGCCGGCGGACTCAACCAGCTTCGTCATCAAAGGTGACACTGTCCGAGCAAAGGACCACGTCAAAGTATTGGGAGTGATGATGGACACGAAACTCCGTTTCGAAAAGCACATCGCAGACGCGACGACAAAAGGGCTGGAGGCCGTGCTGGGGCTCAAACGGCTCAAAGGCCTGTCTCCGGCGACGGCCAGACAGCTTTTCGTGGCGGCCGTAGCACCGACGATGGACTACGCGTCGAACGTCTGGAGGTACAGGTGTCGAGCAGCGCAGATGAGGGTGATCAACCGAGTGCAGAGGATTGGCGCCCAAGCGATCGTGGGAACCTTCAACACGGTGGCCACGGCGGTCGCTGAAGCGGAGGCAAGCATACAATCGGCGCAAGAGAGGTACGACAGAAAATCAACGACATTCTGGGTACGGCTGCGAAGCCTTCCCAAGACCCATCCGCTTCGACGTCTGCGGGCGGTGGCCTTTAGACGGTTTCCGTCACCCTTCCAGTTGATGGCGGAGGCCTATCGCGACCTACCCCTTGACAAGCTGGAGACTATCGAAGGGTATTCGATCGCTCCTTGGGAACGTCGTATTGATACAGTAGTCGACGACGACACGGTCAAGGCCTCTGAGGCAATCCGGTCTGGATGGGCAGTGAGGATAGCGACAGGGAGCTCAGCAAGGAACGAGGTTGTGGGCTTTGGAACGGCGACGACGCTGCCCGCATCTTTCAGAGGGGGCGGTGGCGTCGTGACGGCCTCGCGTACGTTCGGTCAGAGAACGGAGCAGAACCCGTATGTAGCAGAGCTAGCGGCACTGGCAGAAGCGGTCAAGTCTCTCCCAGAGAGACTCGAGTACCGGGCCATCCACGTCTTCACCCGCAACAAAGCGGCAGTGTTGGTGATGCACAACCCGCGGCAGCAGTCAGGCCAACAAGAGATCCGACAACTATATGCCAGCGTGCAAGCTCTGCAGAGACGAGGCAACAGAGTCACTCTCTTCTGGCTTCCATCATCGATAGAGTCAGACCTGGCGCAAGCGGCCAAAGCAGCAGCAAAGGAAAGTACCCAAGTAAACAAGACACCACAAAAACGGCCGGCCAGAGCCTACTCGACGGCACTTAGGATCGCTTTACAGAGCGTGCGACAGAAGCACGGAGCCTTGCCCGACAACGTAGGAGCATATTCGAAGAAGATCGACATAGCCCTGCCGGGAAACCACACACGCAAGCTGTATGACGGACTGGCCTGGAAAGAAGCCAGCATTCTAGCGCAACTACGCACCGGAATGGCAAGGCTGAACTGGTACCTCTACCAGATCGGCGCAACCGCCGCGGCGCTATGCGCTTGCGGGCAATCTGCAGAAACGGTAGAGCATTTTCTCTTTCGATGCACACAGTGGACGGCACAGCGGACTCGGATGCTCCAACAGACGGAAACGCGGAGAGGAAATCTGTCATACTTCCTGGGAGGAAAGCGCGCGTCCGACCCTAAGGATTGGTCGCCAAGCGTAGACGTTGTCAAAGAGACGATCAAGTTCGCCATGAGCACGGAGAGGCTAGATGCACAGATCAGCCAGCAGCGAAACCACACGCAACTAACATCATCAAATTAACCGGAGACACCCCCACGCATCCTCGTGCCATCGACAGCAGGACTAGCTTCGGCCGCCGACGATAGGACGTCGAACACTTTGAGAAACAACTCCGAGATGGCCTGCTACTAACCCCACGAGCAACCGCAGCATCGACATGCAAAACTAAAAAAGACACATACGGAGACGAACAAGACTTGTATGGGCTTCTGGGAGGCAAGGATATGAACGAATGTGGAGAATATGTAGATAATCATGCGAGCCCTAAACAGCTTAGCCGGGGCGTAATAAACTATGTATGTATGTATGTTCCTCCATCCTTGTATGGGCTTCTGGGAGGCAAGGATATGAACGAATGTGGAGAATATGTAGATAATCATGCGAGCCCTAAACAGCTTAGCCGGGGCGTAATAAACTATGTATGTATGTATGTTCCTCCATCCATAGTAGGAGTAATTACCCGCAGAGTGTTTGTAAGCCGTAGAGGTAGTCGTATTTCCTGCCAATTTAACGCCGCGCGGGTATTGTGTAAGTACCAAAGGCATGTATTGGCTGGAGATCTTTGCGTTCATCATATTTTCGAAGTGTAAGTCAAGTCAGATGCCGTAGTCGATGAAGGCTGTCCTCGACTCCCCCCCGCACTAGCAAGAGATGCCCGGGTTAAGTTCTCATTGACCAGGGCTACATGGGGAGTTTTTGAACACAAAGACGTACCCCGTAGACAAAAGACTTGGAACTTGAGACGATGAAGTTCTTTGCCGTGAGTGTAAGTAACTCTACTGCTCAAACTGCGGTACATCTGAAATATCCTTCACGATCTAGGTGTTACCTTCAGTCTCTGTAGCGTATAATGTTGTCTTCTCCGTAAAGTTGTCGTCCTTGGTCAATAATGAGATGGGGTAAGCCATGTTTCGGTAAGCCATGTTTCCGACAAACCAAAGAAAATTGCGTGATTTCTTAACAGCAATTATGGACTGGCGCAGAACGGATTCAACTTTTGGAAATGTTGGCACTCAGAAGACGCCGGCCCACAATTACACTTTCTTAGACGTTGCGTCACGCGCGCGGTTGCTTCGCCACGACTTCCGTTGGAGAGATCTAGAGACCATGAAGAACTGCACTGTTGTTCATCAGACATTGAGCATCGATAATATCTAATGGCCATATCCGTAATTTTCAAGCCACACTTGTCATTTCTACTGTACCAGACTACCTCGTAGATATGCCAAGACCAGAACGCGAGGCTCATGGCTGAGTGCCATGGTTATGTTGCGAGGATACGTGATCAGAATCATGATGCGTTTTCACGCTAGAGACATATTGTCCCGTAATTACCTGGATTTCAAAGCAAAGCTGGTTCTTCTGTACAGGAATACAATCTGCTTACAAACTTGAACAGATTGCCAAGAGTTGAAGCTATCGTGACTTGTAGGCTTGCAAGTTGCAGAGAAAGCATCAAGTCATAAGCTCCATGATATCTGCGTCTTGGGGGTTTCCTTCTTCAGACCAACACCTTCACCGTCAGTCTACAGTTCCATCTCATCGCTCACCACATCTTCTCTTTATCCATACTCAGAGTTTTACTCAAACCCCAATCCCAACCACCCAACATGCTCTTCGCCAAGCTCTCCGCCTTCGCAGCCCTCCAGCTCCTCTCCCTCCCCGCTGCCCAAGCCCAGACCAACAACAACGCTTCCGCGCCCACCACCACCGTCCCATCCTTCACCTGCAACCCAGGTTACCCCGTCTCCTCCGCTGAGCAATCCATAATCTTTACAAACTTCCTGCGCAAGTTCTACCTCGAAAAGGACGTCTACCGCGCGGGGAGGGAACACATCCTCCTCAACGCAATCAACCACAACCCCAACGTCAACGGCGACCGCGACGCGAGCTTGGCCTGGGTTGCGCCGCTCATCGCCGAGTGGAATGTTACTATTACCAACACGGGCTTTGCTGATAACGTCGGGTGGAGTCATGTGAAGGTGGAGGGACCTGGGATGGGGCGGTATACTGTTGCTGTTGATATTTGGCGGTTTGAGGGGAGTTGTATTGCTGAGCATTGGGATGCGTTGCAGGTTGCGCCGCCGGCGAATAGAACGAACCCGTTGGAGTTGATTTGAGGTTGCCTAATTGAGGTGGCTAAGGCGGATGTGCTCAAGAACTAGAGATTTGACAGACTAGACTGTGTTACCGGCGAGATGGAATTCACATAGCTTGATATTCGCACATAGGGCTAAGTCATAGGTATTAGAGGAGCAGACAATATACTGGTCATAAATGGAGTATCCGCTGTCTTCCATAAAATCACCAAAGAGACTGATCCTAGGGAATCAGGCCGTTACCAGCAGATGCCGCCAACTTGTGTCTAGAGCATTGATCTGATGTTTATAACATTGGTGACAAAATACCCGGCCCCCAATTACATAATCGGAGCCAAGTAACTGATTTTTTGGGTAAGGTGGTTCGGAGGGCTGGCAAAGTGTCGCCTTCTACTCCCGCACTACGTCCACAATTCATTGTGTTCTTGGGGTTTTCTTACCAAGACCTCCACAATCTGAAGATCGAAGATGACTTGCATATCGGTAACTCTGGGCCAATCGGAGCTGGCCAGTTGAATTCAATCATGATGTTTACTTGGCTACATATCTCTAATTTCTTGAACTACTTACCTAGACAAGCAGTTGGGGCTCCATCCTTCAGCCCTCGAGCAGATCATTATAGCCAACTAGTCCTGGATGTCCTACAATCTGAGCATCGCTAAGTCGACTATACAATTAAGTAACTCGCTGGACCCAGGCCCAATTCATTCAGTCGCGATGAAGTAACAGATCTTCGAAGCTGTCTTGTCCCGAATCGTCAACGTCATTGCGAAGGCCTCGTACTATGTCGGATGTAAGCGACACCATTGAAGAAAGCCGGTGGGATACCTCCAATCAAGTGCCGACCCAATGTCACACTGGGCAATCTTACATACTAAACTCTATTTCACCGAAGAAGTCTTTCTGGACGTCCGAGGCAGCCGGTGAAAATGAAGTATTCAAAAGCTTTTCAGCACCGTCGCACGAACTGTGAATACATGTGAGCGACCAACATTGTCTCACGTAATCTTCCTCTTCGCATACAGACACACACAACATCTGATTCGTGGTCATGCTGAACAGCTCTTACTCGATGCAGCAGTTCACCAGGGCCTTATTGGGCGGCCTCTTATCAATCTCCCCTCTCGCAGTAGAAGGCTACTCATGCTCCTCGCCCGCCGAAGCATGCGTGATCCTCGCCTCCACGCTGCCGCCTGAAGTGTTCGCGGCCCCGAACACGACAGACTACCAGTCGGTTCGGGACGGCTACTGGAGTCAAACTGCCGGAGGTCTAAGCCCGGCCTGTATCACACGTCCTAGGACGACCGAGGAGGTGGCATCAATCGTCAAAGTGCTCTCGTCCTGCGGCAACAATGTTCGATTCGCCATCAAGAGCGGCGGCCATGGCTCGTCCCCAGGATGGTCCAGCACCGACGGGGGTGTCCTCATCGCTATGGACGCCATTAGCGAGACCCAGAATGTAGCAGGCAACGGATATGCTCTCGTCGGCTCCGGCGCCCGCTGGGTCGACGTGTACAAGACCCTCGAGCCTCAAGGCGTGACCGTCATCGGGGGCCGCTTCGCGTCCATCGGCGTCGGCGGCCTGCTCCTCGGCGGAGGCATGAGTTACTTCAGCGGACTCCACGGCATGGCGTGCGACAACGTGCTCAACTACGAAGTCGTCCTCGCCGACGGCACCGTCGTCAACGCCAACGTAACCTCCGAGCCGGACCTCTTCCGCGCCCTCAAGGGTGGCGGGAACCAATTCGGCATCGTGACGCGCTTCACCCTCAAGACCTACCCGCACGCCAACCAGGTCTGGGCCGGCATCCTGACGTTCTCACTCGACAAGGCCAAGGAAGTCTTCGCTGCTACGCAGGCCTTCAGCGCCAAATACGACCCGCAGTCGCACATCTACCTCAGCATGGGAGGCGGCGCGAACCCGCAGTTGGATTTCCTCAACGTCTACGTCTTCTACAACGCCTCCTCGCCGCCTTCTGGTAACGCCAACCCCTTTGCGGGCTTCTACGCGGCCAAACCCACGGCAGACAGCACCGCCACGCAGAACTTTTCCGCCCTCATCACGTCCAACAACAACGGCAACCTACCCTTGAAGCGCTGGCTCATTGGCGGCCACACGTTTCCCAACCTCCAAGGGCAGCAGGGCGGGGATCTCTACCTGCAGCAGTGGCAGGCCTTCCGCGACAAAGCCAACGCCACGGCGGCGGGCGACCAGGCGCGCATCTTCTCCATGGCTCTGGTCCCCGTGCCCGCGGCCGTCACGCGCGCCGGCGACCGCATGGCCTCTGGCGGCGGCGTCAAGAACGTGATGGGGCTCGAGGCGGATGCTGGGGACGCCGCGTGGGTCGACTACACGCTCGCCTGGGCGGAGGCCAAGGACGACGAGAGGATGTTTGGGTTCGTCGAGGGTATCAGTGCGGACGGGGACCGGCTGGCGAGGTCGTTTGCGCCTTGGGTGAGGAGTTCGAATGCTGTTGAGGGGGACGGGGCGGTGTCTGCGGAGAAGGCGGCGTTTTATAGGACGAATCCGCGGTATATGAATTATTCGCTTTTGAACCAGCCTGTGCAGGCGAGTTATGGTGAGGAGAATAGGCGGTTTCTAAGGGAGGTGCAGAGGCGGTATGATCCTGCTGGGTTGTGGAGGAGGGATGGCGGGTTTCTCTGGGAGTAGGTAGCTCTTAAGCTACTGATGGCCAATAATTGAGGGATCAATAATAGGTACTTGAGCGTATTTGAAAGTCGAACAAATGGACATTTATCAATCCGAAGACCATTGAGAACAGTGAAGGCCTCGAGACAAGAGAGGTGGAGCTAGACCTGAGTGTGGGAGAGAGAAAGGGGGATCAAACTGTTGGACTCCGTGTATTGCTCACCCTAACGTGCATTATTCTCTTACTTTGGCTTCATCTTATACCCTCAATCGTTCATGACTAGTCACACTATCGCATTAGAGAATCCGTGACGAATACGGAGATGACAAATAGCAATGCGTTATAGTGAGGGCTGAGTGCGGTGGCACTTAACCTTGAACACCGATACTATACAGCAGGCAAAAAGATGCCCTTCTTAAATATCACTAATGTGATGAATAGCAATTCGCAGGAGTTCTCACCACTAGACACGGAAGAAGATCTCACAATGCCTATGAGATGTTAGGAAAGCTAGAAATCTTTGCTATATATATATATATATATATATATATAGCTGCTTCTGCCGCGGACGGTCACGGTGCCGTCTTCTTGGCTCGGCTCAACATTCAAGCATATGCCGACAACCATGTCCGCTTGCTGTAAGGAGAATCTCCGTCAGTATAAGCAACTAATGAGTCTATGACGCAAGTGCTTGGCAAGCTTTCCGAACAAAGGAGCCTCATAGTATCTGTGGCCATCATGAGTCGCTTTTTGAGAGACCAGGAGCACAACTTAGCAACAGATGCAGTTCCTTGCTTCCCCAATAGACGATGCTTCAACTACACCTTTCCTTCTCGTCCCATCAATTGCAATCATGTTGAGAATCAAACTGGAATGATTGCGCATGAACTTGGTCAGGAAGCAGAAGGAGATAGGAAAAGATTTTGAGGTATGACGGTGCCTCTGATTTCATTTTCAATTGGGCAAGAACATGTGTAATATAATTCACTTTCAAATACATGTTTTGTATTCAGGTCGCCTGTAAACGACATATTCCAAGCTATGGACTGCCAAGGTCGCTCAGTCTCAAAAGTAGAGCATATTTGCTGCCATCCTAAGGTAGTTTGTAGAGAAAGGCATCTATACTCCGGGTTCCCATCATGATTCGTGATTCGTGAATCGTACAAAGGTCCAGCTACTCCACCACCGTCGCCGTGGTCTGAGCTGACAGTAGGCCAATCCTCTGTCATTCTGTATAGCCGATCAGCATCCATGATTGGTCATCGTGTGTTGTGAGCTCTTACCTTTTAACCTTGATATTACGAGTCTGGACTCCTCCGTAGACCATATCAGAGGCCCAGTTATGTAGCTGGTAAATGGCCGAAATTCGATCGATAGGTGCACACATGGCAGCATCACTCCTCGGCCGGTTCAGCCTCAGCATCGGAAGGCCTCGTCTCACGCGCCTTCTCAGCGCGACCCTCACCAGCCTTGACAACCCGCCGAAGCACACTCATTTTGCGCTCGAAATCCTCGAGAAGCGGCCCGTACTCCTCGCTCCCAGACTTGACCACACCGCTATTTGAGCTCGGCAAGCTCTCTGCACGATCTTTCTCCTTGTCTACCAGCGTCGTGGCGCCCTCGCTTTCGACGCCCTCAATCTTGAGCACCAATCCGCCCTCCTTCTCGCCCTCCTGTCGAGATATGCTGGCATCGGTCACGGCAAAGTCTGCACTGAGACTGGCGACGGAGGACACCTTCCACTGGCCGTCTTCGCCTGGGATCACATCGAGGAGGACGGCTCGGTTCGGGTTCGGGTTCGGGTTCTTTCCGGGCCCGGATTTGGAGGTCGAGGCCGAGGGGGTCGAGGTTTGGTTCGAGGAGTGATGCGCTGCGAGCGCGGTTGTGAGGGTGTCCGGGTCGTCGTCTAGGAAGATGTACTTGACGGTCGGGTGATGGGTGGTGTTGGCGGTGGAGTTGGAGACGAGGGTGAAGAAACCGGCGGGATCGAGCTTGGGCAGAAGGGCCTCGTCGACGGCCTCGTTCTCAGCTGCGTCATCTGCTTCCAACGTGGGGATGATGGCTGTTGTTGTGTCGGTACCAAGCTTGTTGTCGGGTGGTGAGCCGGCAAGGGCGGCCTTCTGGCCTTGTGAGGAGGACGAAGACAAAGGCACCTGGGCGGGCTGTTCGGCCTCGGGGCGCGGGGACGTCGGGACGTCGGCCATCGTCAGACGATACAGTTCCTCCGTGGTCGCGTGATCCTTTCGAGGGGAAATGTATTCCCAGGGTGGTCGAGGGCGAGGCGGGCGGCGGGGAGTTGAGGTGTTAGTATCGACAGTGTCCCTCGCGTCGCGCTGACTGTCATCTTTTCCTGGGGTAGAATGGGAGCTGCGGTCGGAGGTGGTCTCGAAGATGAGCTGCAGGGTGGCACGGGAACTAGCTGGATAGCTGTTGGGCGCCATGGTGGAGCGGTTCCAGGCTGCTGGGGACGTCTTATCGCTATCGCCACGTGACGGCGGGGTGCCTGATCTGGCATGTGATTGCGAACCTCCAACTTTGAACATCAGTTCAATAGGGAAAGGAACAAGATCGAGAAACCGCATTGCCTTGAACAATAGCTTTCTGCTTCCGTCAGAAATATATATAAACACATACTCTGTGACGATTTATGATATCCTGACTTTTTCTTCGCTGAGGCCATGCTTTTCTCACTCCAGGCCTTGGTCTCAGGTCAATGGAACGAGACGTGATTGTTGAAAGCGTCTTTGCTTGTCACTACCACGAATACCATCACTTTTTTCATCCTGTCCTGAAGAATTCTAGACCATATGTGGGAGTCTTTTTCTTTGGCTCGCGATGGGACGGCCGACAGGGCTAGGCAGTCTGTTCGTAAGTCCAACAGAACCTTCGCAAGGGCCATGGGTATCGCTAAAAACAGTTCGCCAAACGCCAACCATGTCAAATCATTTCCATGAGAAACCCCTAGCTCTCGTTTGTCTCATTCTTTGGATCAGTGAACTCGAATTCTAGAATATGTCAGTTGGTGTTGACTCAAAAAGAACGTCGTTAAACAGATGAGATGAAACTTACTTTGACGGCACATTGGGCACTGGCCCTTTGCTGAGTCCTGCTTGATCCACTCCAGGATGCAATGCTTTGAGCTGTGTTAGCATGGGCAATACGGTGACAAGCAAAGAGAAGCACTTACCATATGGAAGTTGTGGCCACACTTGCCAGACACTAGTTGTTATTAGTTACGCAATGATGTCGTGGAGGTGGAAAAGAACATACGGATGCTGCAGTCATCACCAGGGTACTTGCAGGTTGGACATGTGCCGTCAAAGTGGACTTGACAGATACCACAGACATCGTCTTCGGGGATATCCCATCGCCACGTCGCGACGGTATTCCACCGGGTGATCTTAACCTTCATGGGGGATGTTGTTGTTGATAGAATTGGATATCTGGGGGATATGATTCGTTTGTCGTCAGTATTTTCAGAGAGATACTGTTGTGAAAAGAGTGGTATGCCTTGAATGAGACCCTCTGTTTCTTTGCATGAAGTGGTAATCTTGTTGTCGTGATTTTAGCCCTGGGGCTTTTGTTTGTTGGAGTTGGGAAGGCGGGACCATGGCAGACTGGCAACTGCCCATGGAAGGTGGGACTTGTAAAATCTGCGGGGCAACAGGGCCCTGCAGCCAGTCAATCATGTCAAAACCAGATGGCGACATGGCCAAAGCTCCCCGCATTCGCGCCAACCGTTCCCACTCACGGAGTACGTACAACCAGTCGGCCACCGCACCTTGTCTTTTTTTGCTTCGTTTTCCCAGGCGGTTTGTCGCGATGCTCCACTTAAACGGAGTCACTGGTGACCGGCCGGACCCCGACCTCCTCTGTCTCCTCCCGCTTATCACTGACTGGGAACCAGTGGACGCCCCCCGAATTCCTGCGACTCTGACAATCGCTCCGAGGTAGAGGGTACCCCATCCCCATTCCATCCAATCCTTGAGGCCTGGCTACCTACATTGCTCCTTCTCCAAAAAATCCCGTCCGACACCACCACCAGTCCACCACCACCAGTGACCACCGACCGCGGCGTCCAGGACAAACAACCATCAGCCAAAGGGAAAAAACGGTAGTGACGGCAAGCCTCATTTAGAGCTTTCCCCTCTTCCACATTACCTTCCAATTACCTTACCTCCAACCCCGCACTGAGAACCACCACATGCAATGCCTCTGCGGCTCAAGTATTTGTGGTGATTTTCCTCTTTCCCTCTAACCCTTCCGAAAGGTAAAGGGCCCAGCGTTCCGGGCTCCCGCCCTTTGCCGTCGTCACCGACTGATATCGACCGACACCGCTCCTTGCGACCCGGCAATTCCTCCCAACCTGATCTGACATCACTCGCCCATACCAGAACCAGTTGATCCAGACACAGTCAAAATGGTTACTATCGCTATCCTACGACCCGCGCGCGGCACAAAGCTGTCGCAATTCACTGCGCGCTCTTTCCAGGCCACCGCCGCCTTTGCTGCGCGCCGCTCCTTTTCCTCCTACCTCGTCACCCCCAAGGAGCTCGACGAGGCCCTCAAGAAGAACCCTCCCTCCAAGATCAGCCCCGAACCGCGCACCATTCCCCTTTGCGCCTCATGGTTCCTTCCCAACGATGGCCGCACCGGCATTGAGGTCTATCGTCAACAGCGGATTCCCAAGGCCCGTTTCTTCGACCTCGACAAGGTCATTGACCGCCGTAGCGAGTACCCCCATATGCTGCCTTCCGCCAAGGACTTTGCAGCGGCCATGAGCGAGCTGGGCATCCGCAAGGAGGACACCGTCGTCGTCTACGACACCAAGGAGTTGGGTATCTTCAGCGCCCCGCGCGTCGGCTGGACCCTCAAGATCTTTGGCCACCCAAAGGTCCACGTCCTGAACAACTTCAAGCTCTGGGTCGAGCAGGGTCTTCCTACCGAGTCTGGCGAGCTCTATAACGTCGAGTGCTGTACCTACCCCATCCCCAAGTTGGATGAGGGTAAGGTCGCCGAGTTCGAGGAGGTGCGCGAGATTGCGCTGGACCACAACAAGGAGGGCGCGGAGGGTGTACAGATCCTTGATGCGCGGTCCCCCGGCCGTTTTGCGGGCACCGACCCGGAACCGAGACCTGGTCTGTCGTCTGGCCACATGCCCGGCTCTATTAACATCCCGATGACCGCCGTCTTGGACCCCGACACCAAGACGTTCTATCCCGCGGAGAAGCTCAAGCAGATCTTCCAGGAGAAGGGTGTCAACCCTGAGAAACCCATCGTATCAAGCTGCGGCACCGGCGTAACTGCCTGTGTCATTGAGACTGCTCTCGAAGAGGCTGGATGGGGATCCCCTGAGACGCGCAGAGTCTACGATGGAAGCTGGACGTAAGTTTGATATATGCTCACTCAATACCAGACTTTTAGTAAACTGACATGTTTTTCAGTGAATGGGCACAGCGGGTCAAGCCTTCTGACTCACTCATCAGGAAGAACGAGTAAGAGATGAAGCGAGAGAGTGCAGTGTCGAGTTGCTTCTAGTTGCGATACCCTCACTACCCCACTTCTGGTTTTCTCTGGTTTTCATGTACGATATCCGGCACATCACAGCTTTGGAGTTTGCATTGCGCATGGGAGAGGTTCGTCAGCCTTTTGGTCGTTTAGGGGAGGGACGCAGGTGGCTGGTGTACATAGCAGGCCACGGTAATGGATCACGATTATGGACAACTTGCGTTTGAATGCCTTGCAGTGCGCATCTAAGTGAGGAAAGAGAATCAGTGTCGATACGTCCCGGTACAATGGGTATATTCATAACTGACGAAGCTGCATTTTCTCTCCTATTTGATGGTCGAGAACATTCTACCCAATTGAAGTGCGAGATCACCCAAACGCAGTGAACTTGCATGCGTGACACACTGTGCTCCAACTCGGTGTGGCTCGGTGAGCAAACACCAAGGTGGAGGACCCCACCCTTCACCTTGGATTCCTGCCTCGAAGCTCAGGCCACCCTCTTAGGGCTCGCCAAACCCGTCCAATGAGCCCGCCTTGAGCACAATCGCAAAATATTCAGCCGGCCCTGACAGCCACCACAGACCCCCGCAAAAAAAAGTTGTACCCGAATCGCGAAATAACTTCCTCCCCCTTCGAAACACCACGCAACCGGACTAACCGCAGCAGCAGTCTCTTTCACTCGCGCGCTCAACACACCTTACCCGACGACACAAAATGGCTGACCGTGGTGCAAGCGCCCCCGCCCGTGGAGGTGGTGGTTTCGGAGCTCGTGGCGGTGACCGTGGCCGTGGACGTGGCCGTGGTCGCGGACGTCGCGGCGGCAAGAGCGAGGAGAAGGAGTGGCAGCCCGTCACCAAGCTCGGTCGTCTCGTGAAGGCCGGCAAGATCAGCTCCATGGAGGAGATCTACCTTCACTCCCTGCCCATCAAGGAGTACCAGATTGTCGACTTCTTCCTGCCCAAGCTCAAGGATGAGGTCATGAAGGTGCGCACACACAACATTCCAATTCGACCGGGAACCGAAATCGATTTTCGCAGACGACGACGCAACAATCGCCAATGCAGATGAAGATTTGGGTTCTCGGGAGTCGCTTGGGATATCAATCTGTTTTTTTGGAGAGGGAGGGAAATGCTAATTCGTGGTTTCTTTTCCCCAATTGCAGATCAAGCCCGTCCAGAAGCAGACCCGTGCCGGTCAGCGCACCCGTTTCAAGGCCATCGTCCTCATCGGTGACTCTGAGGGACACGTCGGTCTCGGAATCAAGACCTCCAAGGAAGTCGCTACCGCTATTCGCGCTGCCATCATCATCGCCAAGCTTAGCGTCATCCCCGTCCGTCGTGGTTACTGGGGAACCAACCTCGGTGCCCCCCACTCCCTGCCCACCAAGGAGTCTGGAAAGTGCGGTTCCGTCACCGTCCGTGTATGTACATCCCGAACTCGATTCTGCGCATAAGATGAAGAAGAGGAAAACTGACTAGATGGAATTCCACAGCTCATTCCCGCCCCCCGTGGTACCGGCCTTGTCGCCTCCCCCGCCGTCAAGCGTCTCCTCCAGCTCGCTGGTGTCGAGGACGCCTACACCTCCTCCGCCGGTTCCACCAAGACCCTCGAGAACACCCTCAAGGCCACCTTCACCGCCGTCTCCAACACCTACGGCTTCCTTACCCCCAACCTGTGGAAGGAGACCAAGCTCATCAGATCGCCTCTCGAGGAGTACGCGGACACCCTGCGTGAGGGCAAGAAGTACTAGAGGATGTGTGAATGATGGGGAGAACCTCGGCGGCGAGGAGATGAGAAGAACAAGTGTCGGCTTCGGGATTTCTTCATGGAGTTGCGTGTGTTACACTGCATCGTTGGTTGGCCAGGGCATGACATTAAGGCTAAGGGCAAACTAGCTCCGGATCTGAAAATAAAGATCAAACATTGAATGCAGCCGACGGGTTTTTCAAAAAAATAAGTACGGGCATGAATTTTACGATACCTTCCAGACAACGTCCCCTCGGCCGAGTGATATCATGTTGAAGCGCCATTTTGCAGAGCAATCGACAAATTTTGGAGAGGTCCTAGTGTTGATTTGGTGGAGGCACCACCGTCAACTGAGCGTTTCGAAGACTCCGAGGAGACAAAAAGAACGTTGACAGTCTGCGGGACAGCGCTTGAGATTTTGACGGTCACTGTACCTTTTGGGCCGATACTTCCTCAGCCAGTCTCTCAATGCACAGCTACGTACTTACTCAGCCTCGGTTTCTCGTCTCCCATATATACGGTAAAACATCAGTATTTGAACCAGACAGTGTAAGCCATACGCAGAGGAAAACTCACGATGGTCTGGCTCTTTTAAGAGATCTGAACGCTGCATACACAATGCATCATGCTCACACTCGCTAGATGCCTAATTTTCACTGACGACACCCAGTCATATAGCGCACAGTTGAGATGTGCACCTTTCAATCAAGTACGATGGGATATGCTCATGATAACTTGGATCTAAAAGTACATAGCACACGTAACCAACTCTCATCCAAACGCCTCGAGCAAAGAAACGAACGAGAAACCCTCAAATCCTACACCCAACCAACAACCAACGAAGCCTGCTTCTCAGTATCGCTATCCTCCTGAGCCGCGACGTTGAATCGCACTCGTCTCCGCCGCGGTGGATGCTGTGGCGGGAACAGCGACTGCCGGCCCGTCACCGGCGCCGGCAGAAGTTCCTCCGCACTCGCCCCACCCGCTGCCGACGTCCTTCGCCCCGAGGGGGCCCGCGCCGGAACGCTTCTCGGCACCAAGTCCGGATCAATTTCTATCACTTCAGGGGTTTCAGTGCTGGGCGTCTGAACTGTCTCACGACTGACCCATCCCGTTCCACGAGGCGCAATGCCGTCGTTGGGGAATAGCTCTTCTGTAACACAAGGCAATTAGTAAATCAGATCATACTTTTGTGTCGGTAATGAGTGTGGGCGCAATTTGGAGGACTCACCATTGATCATCGCCTCCACACGCCTCTCAAGATCCCGCCTCTGCGACTCGGTATCGCCGCCCCAGTACTCCGTCACACCAGGGAAAAACTCAGTCCTCCGGTCGTCGCCAACGTGATACGGCACAGAAAGCATCTGCGCCATCTGCGCCTGCCGAATCTCGTCCGCAGTGGGCCTCACGCTCTCCGCGAGCCTCGCCATCTTCGTCCGCAGCCTATCGGCCTCGGCCTGCTTCCGCACCCCTTCGTCCGTCACGCTCCGCCTGATCTCTTCCTGCCGCTCTCTGCTCTGCAGGTGCACCGGCCACCGGTTCATCGAAAAGAACTGCCGCTTCTTCTTCCCGCACACCCCCGGAGACGCCCAGTCCCAGATCCGCTCGCGGTGCAGCGTCATGAAGCGCTTGTTATCCTTGCGCCGGAGAAACCACCGCGGCCTACTCGGCCATAGCGTCCCGTGGCCGCGCGAGAGCTCGTCTATGATGCCTTTGCGCACGACCTCGCGCGCTTCGTCCTCTGTCATCTCCTCCGTCCACGTCTGCGGCTCGCCTGCCTTTACGACGCTCTTGTACGACACCCGCGGCGTGACCGTGTCCTCCTCGCCGGGCCGGTCTCGCGAGAAGCTGCTGCCCCACATGCCCAGGATATCCTGCAGCTGCGTCTTGCGGTACTCCCAGTCGTTGCCGTGGTTGAGGCGCTGATTTATGATTGGGAGGTTCACGGCACACCTAGCGAGCTCGACGCCGAGGCGGTAGCCGAGGGTCCAGAGGAGCTCCTTTGTCAGCGTGCGCGTCAGGTTGATCTCGTCCACCTTTGCGAAAGCCGAGGGCCATTCCCACGTGACGAATGGGTTTGGAACGTTGAGGCGGTGGTACAAGGTCTTGTTGTAGTCCGTTTCTCGGGCCCAGTCGGTGCCTATTTCCCAGTTCATGCGGTGTTCTGGGTGCCAGTCGTTTTTGGGTCGGCTGATTGAGACCTCGCCAGTTTCTGAGCGTTCGTAGCTGAGAGGTTTCGTTTTGTTAGTATCATGTCTTTTTACACCTCCATCACAAGGGGAGGGGGGGCTTACGTGAGTCTTCCATATTCGGCCAGCACCTTACTATACTTATTCACCAAATCATCTGTGAAGAAATAGTCGCCCGTTCGAATTCCGGCGTTGAGAGCCCCGGCAACCTGCTGCAGCGTCTTCTTGCGATCCTGCGCCGCAAAGAGACACTCCTGGCTCGGCTCGTCCAGCAACGTCTGCATCCGCGCGACAAACACGTCAAAATCGCGCCCCAGCTTCGGGAGCACCGACTGCTGGGCCACAACCGTTGTGGAGGGCCCGCAGACAAACTTTAGCCAATCCACCTCCCAACGTTTGAGGGGGCGGCAGTGTCCGCCGTTCTTCTCCCGGTGGACGGCCAGAACCTCCTCCATGTCCCACGAGGGCGCCCCCTGGAGCCCGTACTCGATGTTCTTGATCACACCCTCGAGCATCTCCCGCGGATCTTTCTTGTACGCACTCGTGAGCTTCTCGCGGAGGGTGCGCAGGTGATGAAAGTCAATGAGCACCCTCCTCTCGCTCTTCCTCATAAAGTTCCAGGGCGTCACGGGGCCGTACAACTGCTCGGGGAGCCTCACCGAGTCCTTGTCGATCCCCATATCCTCCAGCATCTTCTCGTGGGTACGCACCGTCTTCTTCCACAATGTATACGCGCGCTCGCGATGGGCAGCCTGCATCTGATTATGCCAGTACGTGATACCAAGCGGGTCAAGCTTCGTCCCCGGCGGCGGCGCCTTGACCGAGTGAGGCTTGTACATGATATCCCGCTTCGCATCAGCCAGCGCAGACGCCTTCTCTCTCTTGGTCAGCGGCAGCACCAGTTTCCGAAAGGGACTCCCGAGCGCGACATTCTCCTCGCTGTTGAAATGCGAGAGACACTGTTGCAGCGCCGCGCGCTTCGCGCCTCGAAAACGGGCGAAGCGCTGCTGCGTCTCGCCCTCGGGGTAGAATTTCTGCAACTTGCGCGTCTTACCCTCGTGTTCGTACGTGTTGACCTCGCCGCCGACGTACTCGTCCATGAGGAGGTAAAAGTTGGCCTCGCCGTGGAGCTCGGCCGACGTCGTCTCGGGCCCACCCGTCATGCACTTGTTGAACCACTCGTCTTCCGTGAGCGCCATGTTGAAGTCTGGCTCGTACCCGAATCTCTTTCCGCGCTCTCCCGAGCCGAGCGTCTCGTCGCTGTTCGGGTCCGTGGACCACACGAGGTTCCCGTCCTCGCGGAACCACTTGAGAAAGGCCATCCGCAGAAGCGGTCCGGGGATCTGGTAGTCGACGTCCTGGATGGACTCGGGCACGCGGTGCAAGAGGTAACGAGGCCGCACGGGATCCCTGGCCCTCTTCTCGACGACGATGTCGCGCCCGTCGAGTAAGGGCGGCAGTCGCGTGCTGACGGTGCTGATTTTAGGAAAATCGACCACGAGCTTCTTTTTGCCGTAGTGGTGCTCTTCGAACAGCGCGTGGGTGCGCAGCATGGCAATCGCCTCGCGGACGTCGACGTACCAGTCCTTTTTGGTGACGCCGTCCATGCGGATGCAGTGCTCCAGGAACTCGTAAATCTCGGCAAAATTGCGCTCCCAGTCGGGAGTGCGGTCAATGTCCTCGTCCGCAAGAAAATTTTTGATGCGGGCGAGCTGGACTTTGGGCGCGGAGACGCGCCAGCCCTTGTAGTCGATCATGCGCAGGTCCTCTTCCGTTGTGGCGGGGTCTTGCTTGAACCAGTTGATGAGCCACCGGCTGTCGTAGGGTTGGCTGCGGAGGTATTCAGAGGTCTCCGCGTCGTTGCCGGTGGCAGTGGCAGCAACAGCATCGGCATCTTCGGGTTCTGGGTCGACCATATCGACGTCGGAGGCCTCTGATGCGGTGCTGGGCGATGATGATTCGGAAACATAGATTTCTCGAGCGGGCGTGAAGATGCGAGGTGGTTGTGTCGACGAAGGTGCGAGAGCAGAGTTTCTCACGAGGCGACTGTTGCGTCCAGATTGGCGTGCGGGTATCTGATGCTGGGTGGATGATGATGCGTCGGTGATGGTGATATAGGGGGCAGTCGTTTCATCACGCGGAGGGGTTCTCCTGGTGTCGAGAATGACAGGAGGTATCACAGGACCTTGAGGCTTTGGAGACGATTCTGTAACTCCTGAGAAGCGAACGGAAGCTCGTCCGTCTTCACTGCCTCCAGGCATTCGTTCGGTGGTAGTCGGACGGCTCGTCTTTGGTGGCTGATCTCTCTGCGTCAGCTTCATTCTCGAGGGCAACTCCTTTGGTCTATCTGACTTACACGTAACCGTGACCCTTTTCGGCCATTATCTTTCTGTCTACTTCGAGAACCCTCGCCTCGAGTAGATGTTACTGTCTTTGATTTAGACTTTTTCCGAGTCCGAATAGTCGTGGCCCAGGCAGCTAACGCACTTGGGGGCATCCGTTCACCCTCAGCATTGTCTCCCTCCCATTCCTGAGCCGAGTCACTCTCGCTATCTTCCTCCTCGTCTTCCTCTTCATCATCTTCGTCGTCTGGTGGAGAGTTCCGTTCAGGGTGCTTGTACTTCTTTGACCTCCTGATGAATTGGTTGCTGCTGTAATAGGAGTCAAAGGTTTGCGGCCACTTCCAGTTGCCGGGGTTTTCGCGAGCGCGCCACTCCGTCGTAAAGGGGTTTCTGGGTGCCTCTCCTCCCTCGGCAGGGGCTCGCGGTACAGTCTCAGGTTGAACCGGCTCTTCATCGACAAGGAGGCTCGACTGACCTGCGTACGTTGAAGGGCCGTAGGTGCCTTCAGGTCCGTCCAGACACCCGGTATGATCCGGGCCGCCGATGCTCTCTCTTTCTTCTCCTACGCCATAAGCGGGACGGCCCTCGCCTTCCACCAAGCCAGACTCGGTCCTCATCTTTGCTGCAACCGCTTCGACCTCGGCCCGGGAGAAGCTGGCGCCCTCAAAGCCTAAGACCTTGGCCCACCTATCCAGATCGTCGCCGCCTTCGACAATCTTCCTGAGCATGATATCTCTCTTCCGGTCTTCTAATTCTGGACTGTTTTCTTCGGCTGCCTTGGCTTGCGCGGCGAGATCCTCGACGCCCTCTTCTTGGGTCACACCCCAGCGAGCGCCTCCGAGGTCTGCATCTCGAAGCCACTCGTATCGTTGACCATACAGGCTTGCCATGAGTCCACGGAAGTCCGCATTGCTATGAAGAATCGCATTGATCTTCCGTGTGGAGATGAGTGTTTCAATGTGTTCGAAGAGGCGATGAGGCTCTGGATTTTCGAGTGCGAGCCGTGTAGCTTCCCACGTATCGGAAGGGAACCTGTGATATTGCCTTCTGACCATGTCGGCCAGTTCAGCTGCAGTACGGTTAGACTGTGGACAACACGATGTTGGCATAGGGCCACACTCACGCATCCTTGCTTGCGCCATCCTGGCCGCCGTTGCTTGTGCTCACTCAGTGCGCGATTGTCAGACTTGTCAAAACAGCAACGGTAAAGGTAAGGGAACAACCCAGGATGAGGGGGAAACTAGAACGCCAATTCTGAAGAGGAAAAAGTCCAAGCTCCAGGTAAATAAGAGCTGTGACGCTGAAAGTAGTTGTTTGAGAAGAATGGTCACTTTGCGCAAGACAGAGACATTGATTGGGTAGCAAAACCTGACAAAAGGAACGGAGAAGTTTGAGAAAGCCGAAAATTGAAGGGGAACTCAAGTTTCCACCCAGACTTGCGAAACACTTCCATTTTACGAATTTCAAAGAGTCTGATGAATCCTCTGAATGACTTGCTCTGTCCCATTGTAGCCAACCCAAAGAGAGCATCACAAGGGGGCATTGCGGTCTTACTATGCGGCCACAAAGACATCTAACGGCGACAACAAAGAAAGGCAACCTGCAGAGGGAGGAAAGGGATAGACGGTCGATGTTTCAACAATGCATACGGAACGCGATATTGCATTGCCTGTTCCGGTCGTGCTCTCTCGCCAGAATGGGTTTTCTATGTGCGACAGAGCACACGGTTTGTTTCTTTGTTGTGTAGTTTTGCGATTGTCGTAAAGGCGGCTACCTGATCCTGTCGCGAAGCTACGAACCCCGGCAACTATGAAATGAGTTTTGAGACCAGAGATTCAGATATTGACAGATCGCATATACTGAGGATCGAGCAGGCAGGAGACCTCAGGTCTTTCTTATCTGCTCCGAGCAGCGGGCTTCCAAATGGCAGTCTCAGAAGTAGAAAAGGCTTTCGCAGACTTCTGCAAGTAAACCAATGCAGCAAAGACCCGTTTCCTTCTGATATAGGAACTTTCCCATCACGGCAAGAACAATGTCTCGTCAGCAGAGTCCCGATGATTCTCTCTCCGACGGCGTGGATGCTCACATACGCGACTTTTCTAACCCCATCTTGCAGCTTCCACCACAGCCAGAGTCTAACTCAGCCCATGTCGAAGATGCCAACCACGAAGAGACTGATGTGTGCGGCCCAGAAGAAGCTGCCCGTCGTCTGGAAGTCGAAGCTCACGAACGAGAGCTCGACGAGCAAATCCGCACAGAGTTAGAGGCCCAAGAACGCGAGGCTATATGGCGTCGCCGATTGCAAGCCGAGAGTATCAACAACAACCCCCAAACTTCTCAGGCACCATCCCAAACACCGCCCCTCGTCATTGGCGCACCACTAGGCAAGAATCTCACCGTCGTAGAAGCCGCACGCCGCCTCGTCAAGCAATGGGAAGCAATCTACGAGTCTACACTCTCATCATGCCCAGACGCCGCCGGCCCCATTCTCGAAGAACTAACACAAGCCCGCGCCCGGCTCGATACCCTCGTAGCCCACCAACAACAACATCATGGAGAAAACACACAAATCCCCCTCCTAGACGAAGACCCAACAACAACACCACTCAACTCGCTCCAAGCACACAAGGACCAAGCCATCGCTTCCAGAGTCAAATTTCTCACAGACTCCCTCCCAGACTCCTCCTTCCCGCCCGAGCGCGCCAACATCACCGCCGCAATCTCCCTCTACAGCGCCTCCCGCATCCCCTACTCGGCCAACTGGGCCCTCATCTACGCCGGCCACCTCGTCGACTCTGCGCCGAACTACGCCTCCTTCACCGCCGACCGCGCCGCTCGCCTGGCCCGCTACAACCGCCTCCACGGCGAAGGATGGCTCTGGATCGAGCCGCCCCTGACTCGTAATGCCGGCGGCGGTCCCTCGCCCTTCTTCTCCGCGCGCAAGAGCACGTTTCTCCCCGAAACGGACTCGACGTACGACATGGGTCACTACAGCGTCACCATGTCGTTCCGCAGGATGAAGTCCTTCGCGTATTGCGGCGCGGAGCCGCTGCTGAGAAGCATGGCTGTATCTAAGAAAAGGAAGCACGAGGAGTGTAACGACAACGACGAGGAGGCGGCGATGGTGAACTTGAAAGACTGGCCAGTCGTCGCCGAAAACGAAGACTACGACGACCTCGACGCCGCTTCAGACTCGGACCTACCGTGCTTCCCTCCCCGTTATGCCAGAAAGCCCAAATCGCCCGCGCCATCATCTTCCTCTCGCGCAGGTATAAAGCCGCCATCCGCCCTCCGCCGCAACCGTCCCTCGCGCCACCCACACATGGCCCGCGATCCCGCCGCGCCAACCCTCCACTTCCGCACCCTTCTCGACAGCGGCGCCACGCTGCCGATGCTCTACAACCGCGACGCCCGTGCTCTGGGCATCGAGCGCGGCTTCTACGCCGCCGTCTCTCGCATCTCAGTCGAGACGGCCTCGGACACGGTGGCGACATGGTTGTATGAGATGGAAGTCGCCGTCGTGGACACGGTCACATGCGAGCCCCTCGTCTCGGCGTCGTCGCCCGTCTGGCCGGCGGAGGAGCCTATGCTCGGCGGGATCACGCTGGTAATGGTACACGGCTCACCCAAGGCCGGAAGTGGTTCCTTTGCGTCACCTGGGGGAGGCATGGACGCTGTGGCGAAGACGACGGCTGAGGGTGGGACGACGTTTCTTGAAAAGGCGACGAGTTTGGTTGATATTGCCGAGGGCCGCGATTACGGTCGTCTTTCTGGGCTTTTGCCGTTCAAGGTGTGTTATGTGCAGAGCACGCCTGGTCTCCGGACGATTTGGATGGGCGAGGACCGGCGCGATGTGCTGGGCGCGCATCGGATGCCGGGCCAGATGCGATGGGCGCCGGGGACGGGCAAGGTGTGTGACCCGGGTCATCCAAGGGAAGTGTGGAAGACGATCTGTCGAGATGATGACGGACGGCCTGCGGTGCTTCGTATGGCACATGAGGAGGCGGTGGTGATCTCTGGCTATGGGGAGAAAGGGACGAGCTTGGTTGATGCTGAGGAGAAGGGATGGAAGGGACGGAGTGAGGTTACGGTTACGGACAAGAATGGTGTTAGGGTGAGGCATGTCATTGAGCCTAGGACCTTGGAATCGCAGCAAGAGAAGCAACGTAAGAAGGTTAGATTATTTGAGTAGATTTTGTTCTAGGAAAGTATTCAAGAGAGTTTGACGACCGAAGTTGAAAGCGTCCATATGTTGCAACTCTAGTGTATTTCGCTCAACATGCAACTTATCAACAGCGACGAAGACGACCATGAAGCTAGCAAAGTCCGAAGAGGACATACGCAAGCCATAGCTGGGCGAACCTTGACATGTGTATCATATCTTTCGATGCCAGTTGAGCATTCTACTCTTAAACTCAACTGGTAGTTCTTGACATACTTGACTTTGTGCCACCGATTCCCAAGTTACAAGACAAGATCAAGACGAACACGAACATGTTGATCTTATCATGCCCAAGCTTCACCCGTCTGCCCCAGGCACCATATGATGATTTGACCGGACGTCAATAAAAGGCAGAATCTCGCATACCCATCCACCGAGAACTTCACATTGGACTTCCATAATAAGACGCTTCGTCTGAATATTCGTACCCCGTACCACGTCCGCCATCTGATGATACCGATAGCATAAACACTCTTCATACACTTACATATCCATCATTTCACATCGTCAACATCAACCAGCGGTGAAGCTGTCAGGACTCAGAAAGGGAGGGGGGGGGGTCCGCAAAGTATTACCCCCGAAAGCATCGTCGACAGCCCCCCTGATGCTTCCTCATGCGCAAATCTCGGTAGCATCCGCCCTCAAGGGTCCCCGAATAGGTATTCCGTCATCTCGCCTCGCCCTGTCGCTGCACGGGGTTCGATTGCGACTCTGTGAGTTCCGCGTGTTATGAACAAAGTGGAAACGCAATGCCAAAATATGACAAGTCTATTGATAATTCGGTGTATTCGTAGGGCAAAGAATAGAAAACGAGGCTTCTGCGTGGCGGTCAAGAAATCAAGGGGCCAGATGGTCCAGGGATATACGAATAGAGTTGGGACAACGTGACCAGCTAGGCGCTCGCTTCGTGATATCTCTGCTATCAATAGCATCGATAATATCCGTAATCCACCAACAAACAAACGCAGTAAGCAGTGAAAAACACTTACATTTGCCATGCCTCCTTGCATCAACAAAGAACCGCTTGCTTTTTGGGGCCGTCCAGCTGCCTTAGGCCTCTTGCTCGCGCATGCGGGTGGCTGTTCGGAACGGGATTCCTAGTATAGGGCGACTCAGAAGGGGGAACGGAGATGATAGCCTGATTCGAGTTCGACGTTCTCTTTTTTCGCGGCGGCGGGCTGGGCTTCGACATGGTAATATCGATGCCTCTGCAGCCTGCCCATCACGATCTACCGGGGGTGTAGCAGCAACGCCAACGGCCGAATTGAAAGGCGACCTCCAAGGCTCGATTCGCTCGAAGCCCCCAAGAAACCCACTTGCACTCCGTTGGTCGAATACGAATCGCCCGCCTTGCTTGCTCCTGAGTCGTTCCCCGGTCTGGTGATCACAGAAAATCGAACAATGACTTAATAAGCCAGAAGGGCTCCAATCCACTCCTGTGAGTCCTGTCACTCCGCCCAATTTCCCCAGTATGAGCAAATGCGTCTTTTGACCTTTGGACCAGCCCGCCAACGCCGAAGGAACGAGCTGGAAGCCTGGGAATCTCACTCGCCGAGACCCGGCCATCCAGAGTATCGCGCAATCGGAGAATTAGGGCGGAGTCTTTTCCCCCAGGGCCCCAGACGCAGGAGATTGTAGGCCGCAAAGAGGGATTGACGCGATTCGAGCTAGGTCTGGGGGTGGTTCTGAGTTCATGGCCGAGTAGCCAATGGGCCGCCTTGGACAATACATTTTACACCCGTCCCAGGCGGCCCTATGGCCGTATTTCCCAAACAACTAGGCACGCCGTTCGCGCGAAATCTTGTTTTACGTGCAGGCTTACGGTGGGGGAGCCAGGCGATGCGTGGTGGCTTGCAGATGCGAGAGTGCAAATCTGCCAATTCCAGCGCAGGACCCCGTCCGGCGTCCGTCCAAGGGGGCCGCCTAGTCGGCTTGTGGGAGCCGTGTCGCGTGGAGATGTGGAGGGGAACGCGTAAAGTGGTTTTGTTGTTCTCTTGGTTCTCCCTATTGAGTCTTGTCCTGTGGCCCTGTGGGAGGGTGTTCGTCGCCAAGTTAGTGTGTGGTTGGTGTGCAACTCGGGCGAGGAATGGAACGGGCTTTTGGGACTAGTTGTAATTTCCATCCGAGATCTCGAGGGGGGACCCCTGGGAATATTGAACAACTGGCAGACACAAGCAATCAAACTGCCTGCTTGCAGTAGAAGCATGTGCTAGTGTGAGTGTCTCTCAGACCCAGAGATAGCAAAGTCGCGATGTTTGCAACGGCATTGACAGGACACGTCCCCAGCCTCACAGGCTGCAGACCGATCGATATCACTCTGTAGGGATACTCGTCAATATTGGGGTTCGATGGATGCAGACGTCGATGTCTCGGTTGTGCAGCGCAGCGCTGATATCACCGTAATGCCCCTAGTCTCAAGCGACGCCTGTGGTAGCCTCCTCTAGCAAACAAATCCGAGCAGTGTTCCATTGCCCCTTTGGTCTGTGCGATATGGCATCAGAATGTCTCAGCCCCGTACACCGGAACATGGCTCGTTCAACGAACGAGTGGTGATTGACTTGCCACGGGTGAAGAAACATGATAAGACCTGACAAGAGGCCGTGTTTGTGTTTCGAGACGATATGCTTTCTGACGACAAGCAATCAGCAACGCGATGGGGGGTTGCGCGGTTTGTTGGCTAGTGCCACAATCCGTGCCCAGTAGCTGAACCAGAACGAAGCCGTCAACCGCGAATCTTGTGCCCTTTCGAGGTCATTCAGCTGCTCAAGCACCCGCAATTTTCGGTGCTTTAGACATGCTCCTGGGCCGCTGATTGCTCCTTGCAGCCGCCGAGCCAAATTCGCCTAGGCGGTGATCCCGGCATTGGCTTCACAATAGTGCTGCAGACCCGGCTGACACCCTCCTCAAGGACCCGGAATAGGCAGGCCGGTCGGCGCATCCGGTGCCCCGTATGTGGGGATGCGACGGGGATGCAACTTGTCTTCATTACAGGATTCGGGCCCTTGAGAAATCCATCGCGGTCCGAGGGGGGATATGTATTCGTAAAAAGGCGTTGACTCCTGCGTGATGCCTACAGGCAGGCAGGATAAAAGGTTTAAAGGGTCGTACGGAGTAGCTATTGAGGAATAGAGGTCGCAGCTCAATCAATGGTTCATATTCTGCCACATGCCGAGCAAAGCCGGAAAACCGGCTGCTGAGGGCAGTCTCGGAGGACCCAGACCAGTTCGTAACTCCTGTGGATTAGGTAGGGACCAGGAAACCAACCTTCGATGTCGACGGACAGACTGTGTCTCGTGACTAGACCATGATCCATGAGGAATGTCGTGGTGTCTGTTCGTACGTACCTATCCATACAGCCTGCTACGGAGCCCGAGATAGCGTATTCGCGTGCGACCAGGCCAGGGCATATAGGGTCGTTTCTGTTACAAAGGCGAGAAGTCCTGACTGTTCTATGGAGACCCCTTGCTGACAGTTTTCGGTATGTCACCGCACATGCATTTTTGCCTGAGCTAGGTGCCAAGTGAGATATCCGTAGGAATTGATGATGAAAGCATGTGTGTCAAAGTTGGTCTCTAGAGCCCCTAGAAGAGCACTGGCTGCGGATAATTGGCTTGGTAGGTGTCAAAGGTTGATGATGGCGACTACCAAGTTCTGAGGCGGACGTCCGTTCTTCGAAAAGTAAGGTGGCTGGAGCCTCAAGGCTGAAGGAGATTTGAACCGGGCGTCGATCGTTGGTGCGCTCGGCATCCGCACCTGGAGCGGCGTGCGAGCTTGATACAGACCTCATCTACCGTTTCCGTGGTGAGGCGGGGAGAGATAACGGACCGTCAGATTACATCTCGAAATGCTGCAATTTCTGGGTACGAAGTATGAGAGCTGTGCGCTACCGACGCCTCCGCTGGCACGGGGCAACGGTGTCGGCTATGAACGTTCTTCGGTCGGTCAAGAATCGGGTTGCCGCCTCGCGTGGATGCAGGTGTCCCCGAGGAAACTCTCAATGTGCCCTTGTCCTAGGGATATAGCTCGAAGGAGCTTAAGGAGCTTCGCAATCGTCCCCGATTAACCCCATGGTTGGCTGTCCATCAACGAAGACCAAGTGGTTCAAGTGTACCATTATGTCACATCCCCGAAGGCAAAGGTGTCTCTCCTTCGAAGCAAGTGTTCGACTGACTGTTGCCCTGTATGGGTCAACAAGCCCAATGTCATTTGTATCTGTATCTGCGTGGCCACGTTCAAGGATTGCTTTGAAATCTCATCATAGCTTTCTCGGAGCTTCGGCAGCTGGGCATTGTTCGCGCAAATTCTATGCAAACTCGCGTTATTACATGAACTCCGATGCAGCTCGCCTGACCCTATGTAGCCCGTCGTAGACTCTGGACGGCCCGACATGAAGCTTTGCTACCGCTTGGGCGTGAAAAGGGAGGAAGCTTGCAATCTATGGCTAAGGAAACCGTGTCTACCGGTACTTGGTTCGTGCTTTCGTAAATAATCACGAATTGTAGTCTGCAAGGGCGACTGATCATCCATCGCCGATGGTATGTTACTGGGGCTGGAATGACCAGTGACACGCGAGACAATCCATACTAGCCCACTCCAAAGTTTCTTTGGTGAAGTCCGAGCGCATTGTCTAGCCACTGATTCGGGGCATTCTTCAGAGGCTCGACAAGGTTTCTTCGTAGGTCGCCATCTCAGCGGATGGTGATGGTCCCGTAAATTGGGATGCTGGAACCCGACGCAAAAGTGCTCATCCAGACAGAGAAGCCCCGCGAGATAGTTTCGAGATCTGTCTAATCGTCTAGGTCCAAAGTCAATCAGAAGATGACGGACACTTGAGAGACCCGGGATTTCGGACAGCTCGCATTTCGCTGATGCTAACGATTTTGGTCAAAGCTCCTGGCTGCCTGCCATGGAACCAAGTCAAGTAGAACTCCCGGATTGGTTGATGTGGTGCCGAGCTCGATGGAGGGTTCCGCGTGTGATATGAATGGGTCGATGAGCGAACTGGTGCACCAATAGAGACCAGAGGTGGTTTGGAAGAGTCCGAAATGGCGAGGTGATGCAACTCTTCGCTGTTAACCGAATCGTTTTGGAAAGTCCATCAGACTTGAAACGCTTGTAGAGTCGTAATTGTGATTATAGACGAGTGGTGCAGCAGCGAATACGACTAAGGCACTTGGTTGAGGATGGCAGGTGAATTGAGTTAGCACCGCTCTCCTCGCAGGTTTGCGTAGGCGGCCAGTGGTGGTGATTGCTCAGAGCATATGTGGGAAGCTTTGAACGTTTCCTCTTCCAGTTCCTGTCCCTGGCGAGGATGCACACGCCGCTTGCTCCAAATGGGTAGCGTGCAGTGAGATGGTGCCTACGTTGGGTTGACAACCTGACATTGGGTCGAGTGGATGGGATGGCAGGTGGTCAAAGTGCAGCTGTTTGGTTGAACCCATTCCTTAGTGGTAGCGTGTGACGCTTTGATTGTTGAAAGCATTCTGACGGCGTCCACGATGAGTTCATGGGCCAACCGTCGCTAGCATGGTAGATGCTTGCGAAAAGATTGGGACGAAATCCATCTCTGCGGCCACGGCTACCTAGCACAACGTATTCGCAATGGCGTGTCACTCTGTGTCCTTGTTGCTTCTTTGTATCGATTGTCGTTCATTAGTAGAAACCTGATTCCAACAGTCTGACCCCTAATGAGTGCGGGTTTGTACGGCGAGACTTTTTATTGAGTCTCCGTTGGTGACAGGCCTGTCGATTGGTTTCTGAGAGGCCAGACAAATGAGTAGTAGTACGGAGTAGAGCGCTGGCAGTAATAGCGGTCATCTTAAGGGCCCAAGCTTGCTAAGCCCAAAGCTGGAACATTGCAAGTGTCTTCGCCGATGGTCGTTGCTTTTTCTCCTCTCTTGTTGAGCCTAGCATGGCCCACATAGACATGTCCGGCAGAGACGAGATGTGTGGGATATTGCGAGAGACGGTACGGCAGCAAGGGGAAGCTCGAAGGGCAAAAATCTCTTCGTGACGGTGCCATCCGATTTGCTCTGATGGGGTCGAGAAGGGTCGATTGGATTAACGAAATGGAAGCTGTTCTTGGCCTGAGACGCAACTATCAATGTCAGAGCTCCGGCGAGAGGAGGCGCTACCGGGACAGGGTCCGCAGCAGAGCATAGGGGGAGAGGAGACGTCGGGTGTTCGGTGTTGCGTGTCATGGGATGAACCACAAGCTGTCAGTGACACGGAGCTAATCCTGCTCGGAGTACGAAGTAGATGTCTGTGGGTAGATGGTGGCCAGTTGAGAACAGTTGAGAGTAGGGAAGTTGCTTGTCACAACAAGAGTTTCCGTGGCAATTGAAGTTTTTACATTGGCGACAGCGTTCTTGACGACTGGTTTCAATGAATAGATGGACCGTATGACTGCTGTGTATTCGTACTTTGTGGAGAACATCACTATGCAGGTGCAGAGCTGTCTTATTCGCACAAGACACAGCTCCCAATGCAAAGGATAAGGTTTGCATTACTAAGACACGACATTCAGGGATTGAAGAACACAACGTGCACAAGATCTGGCGCTAATCCCAAAGTGAACAGATAGCTCGGCCGATTGGACGGAACCGGGGACGGAAATCGGAGCTTGTACCTCTCTTAGCGCGCCTTGACGTTCAGCCTCGTGTCTTTTGTGCAGCTGTGGATCTGCACCGGGACACCTCCTCCGCTGCTTACCTAACGGCAGCTCGAAGCCTCAAAGTGTGGCTGACGGGATGGCGGAAAAACAACGACATGGCTTCGTCTCTGCTTGACAGCTGCATTCACTTGTCAATCTTGATTCCATGCAACTGCATTCCTGTCCATACACAATTCTTCTAATCCCTCCATAAACCTTCTAGACGACTCCACGAGCAATGCAATCCCTGCATCCAAACCCGTCAATTTCTCCCTTTTCGTCCGCCTCGCCATGTCCGAGACCCATCATCACCGCTCTGGTTTGTGGGCAAAAGGTCGAAACTCCAGGCACTATCGAATGCAACAACCCTGCCAACTCGACGACGCCCTGAGGCAAATTTATCATTTTGTTAGACTACGGAGTACGAATGCTCACCACCAGCCTGTCTACAGTGGCATAGTCTAAGGCACTTAGTCAAGACACCGACTCCATCGCGAGTAAACCATGTGAGAATTCAACGTCAACGACCCCTTTGCTCCGAGTGGAATTAAGAGTTAGGGCCCCATACGGATCTCCCAACAAACTCCTTGACTACCAAAGTTTTCCCCCGAGCAGCCGATACATGCCCGTGACCGCCCGACGCCGAATTGCGAGCAAAAAGAAAACTGCAATTTCGGGCTACGAGACCGTCGCGCCACACGGCACTGAGCCGGCAAGCCACATTACTGTGGTCTCAGCCCACTTTCGCTGGCAGCTTGGACGAGAGTTGCAGCCTGCCGCCAAACCTATCATTCACGATTTTAGGCGAAATGCCTCGAAGCATCAATGCACTTCAAGAAGCCGGCTAGTATCTGAGTCCACAGAGAATCCGATGCGTTCTGCGAAACGTGCCACAGTATTGCCATCTGGCCAGCGAGCGGTACAAGAAGTAGACGTCTTAACACAGCATCGGGAAGTACCGCACCTAAACCAGACACCCTTGACGTGATGTCTACGGATACACGGTTCTTTCCGCCATTCTCGGCCAGACACAGCGGTATTCGAGGCAACCTCACGCATACCGGTGCTGCAAATATTGTCTTACGACACCCCACGGACTGACCGCTACGTTCCAGCCTTTCGAGACTTTTGCATTTTCGCCGCCCAAGTGGACAAGTTTGCGGCAAAACCAGGGTCCAGGTGGTTGGGGAGGACCACCGAGTTACCGACAAGTCTCGGGCCTCCAAACACTTCCAAGAGTCACAACAGCGGTCAAACCGCCTCATATGCATGAGGCAAAGAAAATTTCATTCCCGATCTCTGAGAGACTGTGCAGAGTGCTTGCATGTCGTTGCTGTCGAGACGGTGGAATGATGGGGTCAACATTGAGGAGAAAACTGCAGAAATTTTCTTCTGATATGGAAACTTGAGTGCACACTTGAGCCGCAGCTGCCGCAGGCCGTCAGCCATTGACAAATCATATTGAAGCAGATGGCGAGCAAAGAAGCTAAAAAAGTGTCATGATGCGGGACTCGGTACGCGATCGCGGGGCGGACCAGGGTCGCGACGGCGGCACGGGTTGTCCCCAGTCTTTTTTGGCGTCGTGCAGCAGCGCACCGGTTCCTTTCTGGCACCTCCGAAGCTCCGGGTCACCATGCGGGTGCACGCTCGCGTGAGGTCATTCCACGAGTCATCCCGCCGGTGTTCACTACAGACGATTATTGGTAGCATCCGGGCGTTGCGAGATTAACGCTGGGGATTGCCTGTTGGCGTCGAGATCATCCCCGAAGCTTGCGGAAGCACCAAGCAGAGCGAACAGCCCATGAGGGGTTGGAGGGGTGGCTGATAAAACGGAGTCTCTGAACAGATTCTTTCCATGGTCACCGACGACGTGCAGCCTACGGCAACCAGCGGTGATGGATATTGAAGCCAAACTGGCTTAGGAACTTCTGCACGAAGAAGGATTTGAATGCGTTATTGCCCAAGACTAGAATGGAGTCGCGATGATCGCAGCCTGCGAATCGGGGATCGGCACCGAAGAAGGGATGTGTGGCTTATGAGCAACCGCGTTTGCTCCCCCGAGTCGTGATAGTTTCGTTGGACACTTCGCTCAGACTATGACTTTCTTGACAAGACAGCGCACGCTTCACATTGATGGAGCTCTTTCGACGGAGCCTCAAAGTCAACATCATACTGGAACAACCTGCGAAAGTAAAATCCAGGGTCCAGGCCTTCCCGATGGGCCCATGGTCCTTGGCCCCGGTTTGAGGCTTCAAAAACTTGCAGTTCGTGATGGATACTGGCAGGCCCCACTGCGGGGACGCTTTGTAGAAGAAACGCTCCCGGACAAGCGTTAGCAAACACCTTGGAACTTCGAAGCTGATCCACACCTGCATGACCGTGGGCGTGGAGTCGGGGAACCTTGGAGGCGGGCACACAGGGCGACAAGATTTCGACGCCAGTGAGGCCGGTGCATGCAACCACTTGTACATGCATCGAAAGCTCGCATGCAAACAAGGAAGAGAGAGGAGAACAGAAAGCAAAAGCCCCATACACGCAAAATGGTGACGAGGCGAAGTGAGGGGGAAGATTGGAGCAGGTTGCGAGATTTCTGCAAGACCAACTGCTGGGGCTGGAAACGCGGTCTATTGCTGCAGTAGCAACGTCGGCGGTTCGAAACTATGTCGGTGCGAGATCACGGAGACCGAAACGGGTGCGGACACGTTCTGCAAACTGCAGATCAAGGGCTTGGATTCACCAACCAGCCCCAAGATGACGGCCCTGCTGATCACAAATGACACACTGGTCAATTGCGTGCCTTGTTACCCATGGAGACTACATGTTAACCATGGGGCCAGCTCGCCTCTCAACTTCACAGGCCGAAGACGTGCAGGAAACAGATGCTTGAATTGCCTGCCCCTCCAGATTGGTAATGAGCGGCACCCCAGCGTCACCACGTTGAATTGATTGAGGGGAGGGGTCGGGGGGTTTCACGGACCCGGTGCTCCGGCAACTTGCGAGGCCTCGTCCGAGGATCGCTGTCGCTCATCGCGTAGGGGTGGTTTGAAGGTCGCGTATCGGCGCGTCTGCATCTGAGGACCCATTAACCTCGAACATGTCTTCACTCCGCGTCGAACCGGGCCACACCCCGCGACGTTTTGTACAGAGTATACTGTAGGGATCAACGAGAGACCGGATCCAACATCACGCAATCCACCACATCATCCTGTCTTGCTTTAGCCGCACGCAACAATCAAATAATCATCGAAGGCCAATAGACCCGGATTGCCAAAGAGGCCAGACAAGGAGCTCCCAGGCTGCCGGATGGCGCGAGGGGGAGGAAGCTTGGGGAAGTCGAAGTGGTGGAGTGGGAACGGCAGAGCCAAGCGCATCATTTCTCGACCAACAAGACGCTATATCCCAGAGTTCGCGATAGACGAGCAGGTGGGATTCTTGCAGAATTCGGTCACGAAAGTTTGACCCAATTGAGGCGTATCGGGCTATCAGTTGGCCGGCCATGCCTCGGTGTGCGTGGCACCAGTTGCAGTGGACATGCTGGCATGTGGTGGTGGTGAGCTGGTTCGGGGAAATAATTGCATGTTTTCCTTGATTTGCGGTTTTCTCGAGGTGGTGTACGGAGCTTGATGCTGGTTCGCGACGTTCCTGAGCTGGAGATGTGGAAGTGTGTGTCTCTCTCTCTTTAACAGGGTTGGGAGAGGTGCTGCTGGTGAGGGGTAAACGAGGACAGAGGGCCCCCTTGTTGGACCAGGGTCCTTGTCGCCATCGCCTCTGGGGATTTGGAGCCTGCGCGCTTCTACTCGTCCAGCCACCCTACGCGAACTGACAAGGCCATGGCTGGGCCTGACCGAATCGGGGGAGCCTATTGCTACTTGATGCAACCGAATAGCTCGCTTCCGATGCCACTGCTGCTGCTGCTCCTGTGTTGGCAGAGAGCCCGGCCGAGTTGACAGAAGGCAGGTTTCAAGGGTGCAGTGCATGTGACGGCTCCATTGGCAGTTGAGCGACGGAACTGGAGGCGAACGCAAACCGTCTTTGGCGGCCATGGAACAGAACGGTTGCTCGCGTATGAACGGTTCGAGAACGGCCAGATTCTGGGGAAAAGGACGACTGGATTGCAGCCGCGGTTGTGTGGCACGGCCCTGAGGGCAATTGATTGGACACATGACTCTCTCTTTCTCTCTCTCTCTCTTTCTTTAACTCTGAAAATAGGCTGCTAGAGAGATTGGGGGATCTTCAGGGCGCGGATGGTCTCTCAATCTGGTCAAAGGGGGAGGTCATTGCCAGCGGGAAGGCTGCGTAGCCTACCTAGTGTGAATCTGGGGGATGACGGATCGACATCTAGATTTGGTGACAATGGCGAAAGGGAGGGAGGGGGAGGGCAGGACGCGGGCGATAAACATCGCGTCGAGGGGTATTTCGAGGACCGCGTAAAGTGGTCATCCGTCCTAAATGTAGAACCACGCCATGAGAAGCCATCGTCGACTTTTCTTGGAGGGGGCCAGGCTTAGGTGATTCAGGCCTAGTCGGGGCCCTTTGGAGGGGAGGCAGCACTGGGCACGGGGGAGAAGCAAGGGCCTTGCACTGACCTTTGTTCGTCTGATGTTACAGGTGGCTGTTGCTTTTCTTTGACAATTTGGGGGTAGGTGTTGAAGGGACAAAGCGTGAGAGGGAGAGAACTGATCTAGAAGGATTTCTGTATGGTTTGAAGCCAAAACGCTTTGAGGTCAATCTTGCTTACGTTCTTGTTCTCAGCGGCCACTTGCATCATTGAAGATCACTTTTGGTCATTGGTAAGTAGACAAAGGAGCAGGCTTTGAGTCGCAAATGACGCTTGGCGTCTTTTCTTTGCGTTCTCCGTCTCCAACGGCGCCGGTAGAGCGGAACCGCGGCTCAGGGGGTGGTCAAGGGGCCGGGGGTGTTTGCGGTTGGTGTTAGACGAGAGAACCGAGTAGGGGAAGGGGAGGTTGAGGAAATTTGAGATTTGGAACTCCTCTCAAATCACGAGACATTGATAACAAAAGGGGGTTGGGGCATGAAGTGAGTGTGGTCTCGGACTTGAAGTCTTTTACGGCCACGGCTTTGACGATTGCTCACACCGGACGGGTGCGAAAGTGGATGTTTTTTTCCAGGTGTTGCAACTTTGCAAGACAGGCACGTTCGTCAGCCGCCGCCCCTATTAGTAGATACGGAATATAGCCCGGTCCGGGCAGATTGCTCGATCATCAGCCGATTCTTCGTCTTCGCGAAGGTGAGGAGGACTCCCACCGGACTCTCATGATCAGCATTAACAAGAAAGAAGAAGGAATGCGCGTACCTTTGCCAACCAACACCACAATAGCCAGATCAACCAATGTAGGAGAAAGGGGCGAGATAGGTATCATGATTCCATGTTTCTGGAATGGAAGGAAATCATCAGCCTGTAGATTGTGTATGGCTCCATAGGCGCGTGTCGGAACTGCCGCCGTGACCCAGCATATTTAGACGCCGGACACGCTTGCTGCATGAATCGGGGGATGGGGGGGGGAGGCGTCTGCTGGCTTCAGGGGAGCCGAGATGAATACTCAGTAGGGGAAGGGGGGGACCGGGGATGAGACGCGGATCGGGATAGGGATGGGATGATGGGACATGCATTGGCTGTGCTGAGTCAGTGGAGGACTGGTTGTGATTTGGTGTGATGGGAGACGCGGGTATGATATTCAGATGACGACGATGGGGTTCATTTGCGTCCTCCTGGCTGTACCAAGTACGAATTATCTAATGCAACTAGAGCACGAAATATGCGGTATTTGGGTGGGTGGAAGCTAAGCGCGAAAATGGCTGCTTTTCCCGGCCGCTCGCTGCTGTCGGTCTCGAATAGTTGTTTCTGCTCGGGTGAGACATTGGGCGACGAGTGGCAGGGAAACTAAGTGGCTCCGGTTTTTCTCTTTTCTTTTCTAACTGCTCTCTATTCCACGAGAGGAAACTGAGACCTGGAGCGGTGACGATCCCGCGTGGGCGGTAGTGGTTATCAGAGAAAGAAGAAGAAAAAAGCAATTCCATTGTACGTGTGCTCCATGGCTAATGCTGGCCGCTGGAACGGGCTGCGATCGGTTTTGCAAAAGTTTCTTTTCGGGAGGACCATTGGTTCGAGTCTCTCAGTTTTCATCACCTTGGCAGCTAGCTCTTCGTTTCTGTACTATGAGCCGTGTGGTTGTCTCGCGCGGCATGCCGGAAGTTGGTAGTTTGTCTTGTTTTTAACGAAAGGGAACTGCGTTCATCCATGATCCGTTGGGTGCCGGCTTATAGTGTATGCATGTTTAGAACGGGGTCCGATATTCCAACTCTCCACGGAGAGAAAGTGCAAAGCCAGAGACAAGTTTGCTGAACGCTATCTAGGACCCGCAACCACCACTTCTTGGACGGGAGACGGGGAAAACAGCGGGAGAGAAGCTATGGCTTTTTAGTTGATAACGGGGGAAAACTTTCGTGGTCTAGTCATTGGTCACTGCTTCCTGGTGGGTGGTCTCTGCTGCTTGCCCAGTGCCTGCTCATCTCGTAACGTAAGCTCCTTAATCAGTTGAGGCGACGTCCATCTTAGAGACCGACTCGCGTGGGGATCAGTGGACAAACAGAGACGGTGCTCAAAGAAAGGAATAGTGACGATCTCGTGGCTTTCAGGGGAAGCGCGGGAGGGGAAGAGGAAGATCAATGGATGCTCTAACAGAAGAACAATGAGGAAAATAGTTGTGGCGTCTTTCTTTCTTGCGGTTGAAGGTTTGAAACGGAGACAGTTGCTACTCTACTGCGTAGGTGCGCCAAAGCTCAAAAGGATTGGCAATTTTTGGGAGTTGGTTGGCGTTGGGCGCTTGTGCGGATCTAGATTGGAGCCTGTTGACGAATGAATTCGCTCCTAGCCCCTCTTGCTTACGGCTGGCCCGTCGTGCCTGTGTGGTTCCTGGAGTACCTACCCATAGGCTATCCGAAGGAAGGCTGTTCCTGGCTTCCGAGATGCCACAGTCTTACGACTTTTAGTTGCCAAACCTCGTCGAGACTCTGGCACCGGGCAGTGTGTGTGGTTGTGTGGGTGGGGGACATGGACCGTAGCACGCGTAGTAAGAGCCCAAACCCGCCGAAACGGGAGAAGCGTTTCCATGTCGGCTGGACCGGCGCGGGGGGGGGGGTTGTGTAATAAAGGGGAACTAAGGCTAAGTCGCGACTACGCCATGCGGCTGTGAAGAAGGAGAATAGGTTGAGCCAAGGCTTTTTTATTGCTTAGGTTCCGACGCAGTATGGGTTATGGTGTATCGGGTGTCTGTCAGCGAAAAGGGGGGTGAAATGGGGTAAAAGAGAACACGATGGTGACGTTGACGGTTGAGCGCGGGTTGTATGCAGGCGACTGAGTAATAGGTTGAGTGGTTTTGATAATGTCTTAATGGAGCCTCTCGCGGAAGAAAGAGATCGAAACGCCATCGCCCGTCACCATCGGCGATACACGATCTTGACGCGCGGGGAAAAAGGCTGGGTTGATGAAGAAGAAACCTGGAATGCGAAAACGCGATGCACAAGAGCGGGTTCTTTTCTCACTTTCGAGGTCTCGTCCAGATCATTGAGTTCTGGGAACTCAGTCATTCCAATGGTCTCTTCGTCATTGACTTTGCGGAGCAAATCGGGCATTTTCGTCTACCAAGGAATTGTGAACTTTTTTTTTTGGGTTGGTTTAGCAGGCAGTTGTCTGGCCAGATTGATTTCAGTAGCGTTATAGCGGGTACTACGAATTTGCATATTGAGACTTTCCCAGTCATGGCATTGGAGAAATACTCGCTGCAACGGTAACTTTTGTACGGATAATATTGTCCATATCGGCACATTTGGTTCCCATCTCCTATTTCCATCCATGGAGAATTGTTCCATCTCGCTTGCAGTAATAAGTCTGACCGCCTAGGATCGTCAAGTCCCCTTTTCTGAGGCGAGATTTGCAACCCGCAGAAAGTCAGTGAGTGTATCATTAAAAGGGAAAGGACGCAAAAAAGAGTCAGTGCCCACGCGCGTTCGACGGGGGATGCTAAGAAAAGATAGAAGACCGTTGACTGGACGGAAACACGTCGAGGCAAGTAACGCATTGATATTTAATAGAAATCCGGTCTTTCCATCTTCTTTTGACGTTCGCGTGCTCCCGCGTTTCCGGGAGATCTGATTGGACCGTCGCGGTGTGGGGTAAAAGTCTTTTTTGGAGATTTGGATTCGGGGTGGGGGGCACTTGCTCGACTGGGGGTAGTGAAGGCGCGCTGTGACTGGTGGGCGGGTGCGAGAGCCACCGAGAGCTCGGGAAGCCCTTCCCCCCCTTCCTTGGTTCGTGGTGGGGTTTAATTGGAGTGGTGTGATTGGATGTCGAAAGAACTTCCCCTGTAAGGTCCAGGAAAGGGTGTCTCTTAGTTTAGTATCCGTACCTACTGGACAGTGGAAGCGTGGGGCAGGGGCATTTTCGAGGCTTGGAGATTACCTTGATGAGAGTGGCAGCATATTGAGGACCTTGGGAAGAGCCGAAGGAATTGAGTGCCGTATGGAAACTACCTCACGCTATAGGAACCAATCGATCAAATGGACCATGATGACGGAAGTGTGGTGGTAGCTAGTGGTGCTGAGTGGGCGGACCTGGCAAGCTTGAGCCTTTGGGATCCTCAGGCGTGGAGACTTTCCGATACTCGAGAAGAAAAAAGAAACCAAAAGCAGAAAAAAGCAAAGTCGGGCGTTTCCTGTCCGTTCCCTCCGCGACGAGTCGTGTCTCTCCCTACGCAAAACCCCCCCTTCATGCTGAAAACGTGATTTTACTCTGATATGCCTGTTGATTCTAACTAACGTTTTTGATGGACTCTTCCAGGCATTGAGGCATTGACGAACAACCAATATTCATCTCGAACATTTTCCACCTTCTATCCGGCAGGAAAGGGACACATACTCACATTGTAGGATCAGATGGAGAAGGTACCCGAAAACGTACCTAGCGCCGAGTGGATTTTCACGGCAGAACTGCGCCGTGCTGGAGCAGCTGGAAGGACCAGGAGCTATTCCACTCCGACGTAAGCGTGCCCAGCCCTAGGATTAGGATGTGTGGATTTCATAGGTTCATGAACAGGGGATAGCCTCGCAAAAGGATGGAGTGATGGACATGCCTAGGACGTACCTAACGGCCGGGAGCTTCCATGTTCTTAGCTGGCAAGGAGAGGCGCGTAATAAGAAAATGGAGTCTCCTATGCACGATGCATCTGGTTTCTTGTACAGGCAAGTCGATTGTGCATTCAATTGTAAAAGTAAGAGAGAGAGAGAGAGAGAGAGTCGTCTCAAGGACAAATTGAACAAGTGACAAGTCACAAGAGGCCTCAATTCTTGTATCTGGATCTGGACCTGCAGAGCCAATCTCCAACGAACAACCAATTGGCAACCTTCAAGGCGGCCAATTGTGTCCCGATCCCCGGTACGCCTCGAACCGTTCCCGTCATTGTGCATGCAACTTCGTAAAGTGGTTGCGCTCCTTGGGGCATTAGGGAGGAACACAAAAACGCCCATTGCATCCGGATAACCCAAAGCATATCCAATTAACGAGGTAAGCCAACGCTTTGCTCCACACAACCGCGATTGAAAAAGATTGAATTGGCGACTCTGGGCGTTTTGGTTGGGTTTGCCGGACGCGCGCTGAGAGAACCTAAGCTTCTTCACGCCCTGAAGTCTGAAGGCTGAAAGTGACATGGAAGCGTGAGAGTGAGAGTGAGATTCATTTGCGAGACGCGCTCGCCGAAAATGAGTACCGCGACGAGATCAGACCGTACGATGGATCGATTCAAAGGGTTCGGATCCCGCTCGTTGGATGACACCGGACAAGTCTCTGGTAGGCCCTTTTTTTTCCCCAAGCTTCCATCCTGCTTCTCCTGCTTCATGTCAAAATTGGAAACTGAAAATGGTCGCTTTCCAAAGTCTCCCCCTTCCCCTTAGCGTCCGTTCCTGCAAAGGCCGGAAGTATCAAGTTTCCTGGGGGCGTAGGCCGGGCGCACGTGCCGAGAATGGGTAATTGAACTGTGAGAAAGACTGCAGCACTGGCTTTTCCAGGTTTAGGTAGTTTGAATCACATACACACACAGGCTACAGCACACACACCAGAGACCAGACAAAAAAATCCCGTGCATCATTTAATCGAACCCCTACTCCATTTACGATGGGCCGTTTTCGATTCTCGATACGTCTGAGGGTCGTGACGGACGTGTGGTTTTCGCGTTTCTTTGTAGAAAGAGCACGCATGCACCTCAATGACTTGTGGTGGACAGTCGGAGGTTGCAGTAGGTTTTACTTGAAGCTGGAGGGCCAAGCCCAAAACCGGGACAAGGCAGGTGGAATTTACACAGTAGTCATCACGAGCTGGGTGGGAAATATCTCGTTACGGAGTATGGATATAGATGATTAGATTCGGCCGTGAGTTACCACTGATCGTCTCTTCATCTGCGTTTCCGGTAAGTGATCTGAGAAAGATGCCAGGTTGACAGCCTGCCGCGGAGACCAAAGTCTTGTGTAAAGTTGTGTCGGAAGCAATTTAATCCTATGCAATACGATTGCACAATCGCTGGTTTGGTTGGCGACGATATGTCAGCGTAATCCATTAATCCAAAAGAAGTGCAACAACCAAAAAGGAAAAAAAAGAAAAATACATCGTGACATCGTCATCCCTTCTTTCCCAGCCCGGCCGCGGCCGCCGTGGCCCGTCCTCCGTCCCGAAACCGCCAACCACTGGGAACTGGGAAGGTGCAAAGGTGTGGCTGGGGGGTTGGGTGTTTCCTTCTAGAAGCTCGACCGCTGAGTGGATGACGGCCGGTGCGGGTGCTGTTGACATTTGACGACAACTGCAGCCTTGATTGGGTCTCCCTTCTCCGTTGTTCACCTCGCGTTTCTTACGGCAGACCACCTCACCTCACCTCACCTTATTACGGATAGTTATGTCTGCAATTCCATCAATTCCATCTCTGATGGAGGCCCATCCCGGCCAAGGCCCGCGCTTGAAATTTATGCGCACAATGCACGACGCACGAGGATTTGACAACGTGCACAACAAACATACACACACACACACACCGTCTGGATCTAATGTGGTTTTCTTTTCTCACAATGTCCAAGATCTCGATAACAAATAATAAACAACAAACAGTCTCACGATTCACGAAGATAAGAGCATGGCCGGCTCGACCACGACCCGGGGCCTGGGAAAGGAGGCCACATTCAAGGGCCATGTGGAATGACGGACATTATAACAATCACCATCCAGGGCATCAGATCCAGACGTGCCATACGATTCATCCTCGAAAGCTTATGTCACCACTTTCATTAATTAGCACATTACGAATACTGTGCTCCGTACCTTGCGCATCCCGTTGCACGACACGCCTGACACGATCCCGGATGCACGAGCGAGACACATAAGCCACACTTATTTCCGATTCTCGTTTTCTCTATCCGCACCTCGCACTTCACTTTATCAATTTCGAATAGTTCAAGTGAACTGAACCCACGAATTGATCCACGTCTGGTACTATTGCACAGTACTTCATACATACTGCGTCCACCCAGGCGTCAAGAAGTGGATCACATAGACGGCATATCGTCGTCATTTTTCAACGGTTCATATCGCCAAAACCGGTGCTGGGGGCGGTCCCACGAAGAAATTCCCACCATTACTGCGTATTATCCACCCGCGACGCTGCAAAGTACGGATACCGTAGTACCTTGATCCCCAGCCCACGGGTTACGCCGTAATAGCAAATTCAAACGCCACACCACACTGGGACACACGCATCTCACGACACCACCACACACTCGAACCAGGAAACCCTGCAAAAACCATCTGAATTCGTACCGCGTCGTGAGCCAATCCCAGCGGGTCGTTCTATCCTTCCCGTTAATCCCTGCTCCCAACACCACGCACACACGCCTCTGCGTGGTATCACTGGCTCTCCATTACCTATCCGAGCCTCGCCTTGCCTAGCACAAACACGACCCATTACACGCAGAAGCTGGGTGCAGAACCTGAGGAAGAAGTGGCTCCAGTCTTGCTTTTCATATTCCAGGATTATCTCTTTTTACGCCAAGAAAGAGACTGAATTGGTCCTGGTTCCGACAGAGAGAGAGGCGGATTACCTCCACCGTCCGTCCACTCGACCACAGTCCACACACACCATACACCGCTCACGTAACTCTCTCTGCTTGGGTGTACGGATATTGGTCGTACTACCTGACACCCGCTCGGCACGCATTGGCACAGTCCTCGCTCCTCAACCTCCCACCTCATACCAACGGCACAGCACAACTCAATTCCGTGACGTCCAGTGGTCCAGTGGAAACTACGCAGTAACCAACTCCCTTGTTCAACAGGCGATCCCACACGCACCAATCATCCGTCCCAAGCACGACTACCACCCTGCTGCCAGCCTGCTACTGCCTCAGCCCCGGACCAAGTCTGACTCTGACATCCAGCGAACTGGCCTTCTACTCCGTACGCTCTGGGCAATCCGTAAGCCCTGGAAGAGAACGTTACCGAAGCTCCGTCTCGGGCTTCTAGAGTTCCTTCAACGGAACGGCCCCAGACCCGGCTTCCACGAAACGAACAAAGACGAGCGCTGGTTGTATTTGGCGTGCTTCACTTCTGAGCAGCCGCAGCAATTAGCACTAGCATCAGCATCGGCAAAAGCATTGTATGGTGTTGGTTTCTTCGACCGGTCCAGTCCACCCCGTTCATCAGGCCGTTCCTTTGATCGAACTTGGTTGGCGCCGTCGAATTACATTGCCCCATTGCCTCCCTATCCCCTCACATTTCGCCTCAGAACCTTGATCTGTTGGCTTTGTTCGTTTGAAGTCTTGACGCCTCCTGCCGAACCTTGTCCCGTACAAGCTACTGCTTCCTCCTGCGGGCCGTATCTTACGGGTGATACCTTACGTGGAAACGCACCACATTCTCGGACACACAAAGAAGCAGAGGTAGACACAGAAAAGGCTCAAGTTGAGGATCACCAAAGGCACATTGGTGCCGAACTGCGCTAAGCCCAAGCATTATTCAAGAACAAGGAAAACGCGCGCGGAGGTGCTGCACAAAACCGGACATTTGAGATTTCGAACTGGCATTGCTACCGGTCAGCCGGCTTACGGTTACGGATTACCACCACTACCACTGCCACTGGAACTCTATACTCTGTACGGTACCTGCCTTGCCCTGTCGCCCTGTATTATTTGGGGAAGAGAAAGGGTGTCAAAGGTGCCGCGGGGGTGTGCCAGGCCAAACTAGGACCCAAGCTCGTCAGGAGCTGCTGCTGCGCTGCTGCTGCGCACCACGGCTACTTCGTACAAACCACAAGCACCAGGCGTATCCAATCGACGGCCAGTTCGCTCACTTTCACACTTTCTGACGATCCACTCGAGCAGAAAGGTACTGCTCACCTTTGCTCGGCGGCCGGCGCTGTCGACAGGCATTCGGCTTGCTGGGGGTGGCGCGCAGACGACCGGGAGACAAGATAAGAGACACGACGAAAGGCACGGAGAGCAGCAGGAGACCGTACCGTACTTGTTCAAAGTGCTTGGACAAGGCAGACAAGACAATCAGACAATCGTCAGAGAGGAGGCAGTCGACAGGACAAGCAAGCAGGCAGGCGAGCGGCGAGCGGTGTCGACAATTGGATTGTATCGACGCAGTCGTCCTCATCCCTCGCTTCTTCCCTCGCTGCGGGCTTCATTATTAGGTACTCCGCACCAAGGCATCAATTACGGTGACAGGCAAAAGACGCAGAGACAGAACAGAGACAGCATTGTGCTGCTACTGCTGGCCGGCAAGGAACCTCACTCAGCCTGCTTCGCGCAGCTGCACTTGCAGGGCACATCTGCAAGGAAGAAAGAGGGTCGGCTCACTGCAAGTAAAGTGAGTCCAGCGTCCATCCAGTGCAGTCCGTTCCTCGGTATCCGTAACGTATGCGGATTCCATACAGGCAAGTAATACCACCTACTGCGGCGGGCTACAGGCTACAGCATGAGACATTCGACAGAACAGACGCAGAGGGCAACCTCAATTTCGTGGTTTTGCGCTTCATATGGAGTGGAATTGCTGACCTGAGGTATTCGTACAGTAGTCGTCTGCTGGATTTCCTGATTGTGTCCATCAGCCAGCATCAAAAGTAGCAAAAGGCGCATCAGCCCAGCAGCAATAGCAACCTCAGCAGGCAGAACACAGGCCATACAGAGGCCAGGAAGCTACCTATCTTACATAGTGATACTAGGACAGGCGGTCTTGGATGAAAGGTACGTTGATCTCATGTATCTTTATGCTATGCATCAGGTGTGGAACTACCTCTCCGTCATTCGCGCTTCCCCCAGTCTCTCCCCTTCCCTGTGTCTAGCCTGGGTCCTTCCCTGTCGATATCACGACAAGATACTTTTGTTGACTATGCGAGAGCGGCGGCAATGGAAAGTACCGTGCCGGTTCTTGGGATCCACCTGGGGGGACCTTGCTCTTGCACTTGGGTGGCACCAAAACCAGCACCAGCACCAGCACCAGCACCAGCAGCAAGTACCAAGAATTCATAAATCGGACTGGGTATTCGCACCAGGACCACCAGCTCATTCGCACTTGTTCTCTTACACACCCCTCCCCTCCTTCCTTCCTCTCCTCTCCACCTCACCCTTCCCGTTCCCCCCTTCTCCTCTCTCTGTGTCTCTGTCTCTTTCCCGTGCCTCCCTCGTTCATCCCGGCCCCCCCCCCCTCTCCTGCTCCTTCCCTCTGTCTCTTACACGTAGTACGTACTATGCAGTAGATAGGAAGGTAATAATCGTCAAGGAATACCTAGACAGGCACGAAATACACACCCACCTCAGACGCGCATTCGCACCTCCCGCCCACACACACATCCTCAGAAGAAGGGCCAAAGCTGCACCTTTACGTAGGTACTTGGTCCATGTACCCATCCACCAGCGGGCCCCAAAGTACCTTTTCTTCCCTCCCAACTTACTGCAAAGTAGGAGCCCCAGACGTACCGCAGTACTCGACTGGCCGGCCTGTTAAAACACCTTGGTTCTCTTCCAATCCTTTTTCATCTCCTCGGCCCTCCTCCAACCCTTTACCTACCCTCTCCTCCCCCTTCCATCCTCCTCCTCGTCCCTCCCCATCCATTCATTCCCTCCTCTTCCTCTCCTCGAAGACAGTCCTTCCTGACTCCTTTGCTCGCCGAAAACGAAAAAAGGGTCTTTCCATTCTCTAATCCTCTCTCCCCCCAATTGAGAATAGGAAAAAAGAGGAAGGTAGGAGAAAGAGAGAAGACTTAATCTGGCGACGTCCCCTCCCTGACTGAACCGACTCGTCTCCCTCGACTCCCAACTCACCACCCACCCACCACCACCAACCACGCCCAAAGCTGTCAAGATCGAACCAGCTTCGTCTTGCACACGCCCCCTCTTTTCCCATCAACTCTCCGACAACTCTCGACATTTGGGAACGGTTCGCCAATTCCCAGGTTTTCGAGCTTGCAGAGTGTGACCGGAAAAGCCACAGAGAGAGCAGGAATACGCAACAAAGAGAAAGAGACTGGAACTCGATTTAAAGACACAGTGAAGAAGACCTTGATTGGTATTTTCTACACTCTCTTTCATCAGACAAGACAAGAAAAGACTCTCGCGTCCCTCCCGTTCCTTGCATCCCTCTCCCGACCGTCCGCCCTTCCCGCGACGACCAATCCACCCCCTGAAGAATTCCTCGCCTCGACGACGACCAAAGGAACTCGACTCAGACGTGCAACTCCCACGACGCAACAAAACCCACCCACACACCCATCTTCGGCCCTCCGACGACTACTACGAAGGCTCCCTTTCGTTCCGCCGGCCTGCCATCCCGCCCTCATTCCTTCCAAGAGCCCCTGTGCGATCTTGGATTGTGTCGGCTCCAAAGCTTCTCGAGCAACCCCGTTCCCCAGAAGCCCGATTCTTCGTCCCCGTGGATTCCCAAATCTCTGGTTCCCTCGATAAGGAAAGAAAACTAGGAGAATCATTTTTTTTTTTTTGGTTCACCATCGCTTTCTCCCAAGACTTGTCAGACCGTCGAGAATATCTCATACATGATCCCATCAGGATTATAGATCATCCCTTTTTGTCCTTCGGGCACCGTCTGTGAAAAGGTACGTTTTTTTCTTACTACAGCAATGCAATTCAGATGAAGATGTGCGCCTGGCCTGCCTATTCATCACCATCACCCAACCCGCCCTGCTCAATCCAGCCTGATGACCGGATGAACCTTCGTCTCCATCTTCTAAACCTTCCCCTACCCAGAGCTTTCTCCGTTCACCACCATCTCCACTTCAAGCACTCATCGTCCCCTCTCCGTTACCGCATTTGTCAAGAGTACGGCTTCTGAACTTCACATCTTTCCTCCCTCCACAGCTTTGCGTGCCGTTGCGGTATTCCTACTCAACGATCCACGTACACAAAAGTTTACCCCCACATTTTACCAAGAAACCCAAACCACCACCAGTCCGAGGTCAGGATAGCTCGAGGGGATACGTTCATTCGTCGCTCCCCCAATCCAATCCTCAGGAATTGTCTCAATTTCGTCTGTCTTGACAGTCAAAGTTGCACAACTCCGTGGCGGTAAGCCTCGCCATCACTTCACACTCCTTCCCTTTTCCCTCCCCAGGTCCTGAGCCTTTGCCCTCTACTCGCTCCCTTCCTCCCCTACGATCCTCTCATTGCCTAGCATCCCAGTCAAGAGACGCCAATCTAGATGATTCTCCATCTCCCCTCGTGCCAATCCATCTCCCCACCACCCACTGGTCGAATCAGGGCGGCGCTATCTGAGTTCGAGATCTGCCCCCTTTGGATCGGCACCAAGCGGTATTTACAGAAGCCGGTTGCTCCTTCATCGCGCCCGTCGTCAACCTTGGAACAGCTGCTTGTCTCACTTCGTCCACTGCTCTAGGCTTCCTACAGCGCCTGCAATCGTATAAACGAACCGCGAGCTAACCCAATCTCCTCTCTTCTTTTAGAGTCATCCACTCGACCTCTCTCATAAACGGCCAGATTCCCGGCCACCTTTCCGTCCGTCAATCTCACCCGAGGAACACGGTCTCGCATCATTTCGGCTTCTCATCCAGCCACAGTCACTCTTTTGCCGGACCCTGTTCGCTTTCAACACGCTCCTTCTAATACTAATATTCTAATCTCTCGGTTGCACTATTCCACTCTTTCACAGCACCGATTCTGAAGACTTTTTTTTTACCGTTTCTTTTTTCACGTCCTTCCGTCTCCGACCACCAAAAAAGCTTCCTGGAGAACTTAATCGTCATTCTTTCCCGTTTCGGAACTTCGACCCGTCAGCCAACCACCCTTACACCCGCCCTCGACTCACCACATCACAACTCAAAATGGCGTACTACCAACAACAACAGCAGCACTCCGATCCTACCTTCTTCACAGAGGACCACGACGAACCCCAACGGCCACGAATGGGCACTCGGGACGCCGCCAAGATGATTGCGAGGCAACGGCAGGAGATTATCGCCAGCGAGCTTTCCCGGATAGCTGGTGATGAGTACTTGGAGGATATCATGAAGCACATGAGGCACATGGAGGTAAGAAGAAGAGGAAGGAACCAGTGTCTTCAATTGGATCGGCTTTACTGACACCTGACTTCAGGATGAGACGATGCCTGATGCCAATCTCATCGACATGCAAAGAGAGATCCAATGGTACATGAGACCCTACCTCATCGACTTTCTCATCGAAGCCCATGCCGCCTTCGCCCTCCTCCCCGAGACCTTGTTCCTCACTATCAACCTCCTCGACCGGTACTGCTCAAAGCGTGTCGTCTACAAGCAACACTACCAGCTCGTCGGATGCGCCGCTCTCCTGATTGCCGCCAAATACGGTGACAAAAAGGACCGTGTGCCCCAGATCCACGAGCTCAACAATATGTGCTGTGGCCTGTACGATGCTGGCATGTTCACCCAGATGGAGATGCACGTCCTCAACACCCTCGAGTGGACCATTGGCCACCCCACCGTCGACTTCTTCACCCAGCTGATCGTCGCTGAGGAGCACGACAAGGTCGAGGTCGAGCACATGGCTGCCTACATCTGCGAGATTGCCCTGTACCATCGCGACTTCGTCTCAACCAAGCCTTCCATTATGGCTCGCTCATCTCTTGCCTTGGCAAGAGCGATCCTTGGCGAGCCCGAGATCAACGACGGAGAGTGGGACCACGTTGAGAACGTTACTCTGCTGACTCTCTCTCAACACCTGCACAGCCCTTCTGTTGCCCTCGCGAGGAAGTACTCATCATCACACTTCTCTGGTGTCGCCAAGAAGCTTGCGTCTTTCATGGCTCACCAAGCTAGCATCGCGCGAGCCCAGTCGGGGGTCCCTCCGAGTCCGCCTTCTGAGTCCGCCTCAAAACACTCAAACATCTACAGCACCCCCCACAAAGGCCACGGAGCTGTCGCAGGACTAGTGGAAGGATACATGACCCCGCCCATCACCCCTGATGGCGCCGCATATGGGACCGTTAACAAGGACGCATACTCCATGCCGCCGAGATGTCCGGTTACCCCGACGCCGCAACCCAACACAGCGGCGTATGCGCAACAACAAGTGCAGCAGCAATACGCCCCCTTTGTACACCATCACACAACGGGTCACCACATGGCCTAAACATCGACCAACACGAGTCGAACCCAGCGAACCAACGCTACGATACGGGCAATCGAAGCTTTTCCCTCATTATACCCATGGCAGGGCAATTGAGCGACCTCCCAGGAAGTGGATTAAACAGGAAAAAAAAGATTGTTTGCCGCATGCATACAGAATGGTTTTTTTCATCAACACGTCATGGCATCGAGCGATTTGATTTTTATGCAACAAAGTCCATTTTCACTCAGCAGAAGTGTCCCAAAAAAAGGAATACGGATCATACCCCAAACAACCCCCAAGTTATTTTTTTTCTTCAACAGCATTCAGCGGCTTTTTATTACATACACAACACACACCCCAACGAAGAGTTTTTACGTTCGCAACATGGTCACCCCAGGAAGGGTGAAGGATTGGAATCACAGCGGTCATCCTTCCCGGTAATTTGAAGTTGGATCCGGGCGACGAGATATCGACACCCCCGACCCATCCACAACACACCAATGAGGGGACACCAGCGAAGGTCAGATTGTAGGGTCTCACGATGAGATTCGACCCGAATGGGAATTCTTGGAGGAAAAAAAAGAAGCACAGTGGATTTTTTTCGACGGATTGGTCGGGCCTCGATGGACTTTAACCTGATGGGAAAAGGAGTCTAGGACTCGCTCAAGGAAGGGAAACATGCGGCCACTTAGCACACGAACACCTCCTGGCCGGTTCACTTTTTTCGCACCTTGGAATCAACCGTTTCGAGAGTGGTGGACAGATTGTTTCCTTTTTCTTTGACCATTGAAGGCCGGATATCCCCTAATTGGCCGACAATGGATACAAAGGGACACCAAAGGAATCGGTTTCTGGTCCACAGGTTACTTTTGGAGACAAGGCTGGATTTGTTCTCTTTCGATGACCAGAAGGAAATTTCTGGATGGAGAGAAGGAAGTGGGGGACGACCATGATCCGGTGTCCCCTTACCCAGCCCGGGCGAGAGCCCTCGAGACTCTCGTATACCCGCATTTGGACTCCCTTATATGTAAGGTAGTTGTACAAAGGCACAAAAAAAGAGTAAAAATTCTCTGCTACATTTTCGTCACATATTCTGATCCCTCAATTATTGTGTGCTACGTCTTTGTGATTGTGTCCTGTGATGATGTCTCTCAATGATGAATATGGTTTGGCTGGTAGCCTGGTGCTGAACCTCTCTGTGTGATACGGTCCGTGATGGTTACACACAAGGGGGGAGGGTCGAGCTCCTTGAAAGCCCACATGGGAAATGAATTGCCCACCCATATCCAGCCCCCTGCCCCCTCTCCGGGACTAATCATAGCTGTTGCATTAGTGACGCGGGATGGAGCGACGGGAGGCCTACTATTGGACTTTCTACTGATGTAGGTTTATGCGTTGGATAAGGTATGTCACTTCATTATGCGAGTGATTTTTGGCTGAGTTTCTGTCACTTGTGTGCTTGGCTGGTTGGGCTGAGTCCTTGAGCGTGTGCCTGGGAGGGCACCACTCTGGTCCAACAATAGTTGAACCAACAATAGTTGTCTTTTTCTTATTTACGGTATTGATATGTTGTGCTGGAACTCTTATTTTCATGTTTCTCCATCGTGAGAGGTCCCTGGGCTTGCTAGGTTAATGAGAGACTTTGAAGCCCACGAACATGTTCATCTCAATCTGGGAGGCTTTGCTTGATCTTCGTCTGAAAAATTTCGCGAGTGACAACTTTTTTTCGCTTTGGGGAGTGACATTACGAGAGACGTGGAGGGCGGCGCTAAGCCTTTTTTAGAGGAATGGGTACTGGGACTTTGTGTGGGATTACCTAAGACGTTCGATGCAGGGAAATGGGAAGGTACGGAGGTACTTGTAGACTTGCCATTTGATGGGGGGGGGGGGGTCGGGATGTGAGCTGTGCATGGGGCATGGGGCATGGGGCATGGTTTTCCTGGCTTTTGATGTCTGTGAGATTGTTGCTGAATGTTGAATGGCGTACTCTGGGGTTGTTCGGAATTGAAGTAGAGATAAAAGGGGAGGTTGGAGATTTGGGATACGTGGGATTCGAGTTGGGTTTGTCAGGGTTTTGCTTTGGTAGGTGTCGGTGGTGGTGGTGCTTCTCCCTTTCGTGTAACGGTGTTGGTGCGTATGTCTCAGGGAGAACTTTTTTTTTTTGGTCGGTGAGCGTTTTTTCTTCTTTAAGAGGTTGGCTGAGGTTAAAGATTGAACAAAGCCCTCGTAAACGCAGACTTTCTTGAGGATTCAATAGTTTGTTACAAATGATGAGGATTTTTTTTTTTTTTCTTTTTTTCAAAAACGTTTCCAGTATTGCTGGGAACTTGTTCTGACCAACTTGCCAGTCTGGACTCGGATAGAAGTCTCCCAGAGAATAGCAGTTCACTACTGATACTGGTACCGCTGCAATCGATGCATCTTGATGTTCCAACTTTCAAAGGGTCCAACCTCCCCCCTTTTTTTTTTGGTCCCCTCTTCACGTCGTCGGGGTTTCGCCCTGCGACGAGGGCGGGATTGTGTTTGCGCATTGACGGCTTTTATGCAATGGGGGGTTCGGGGGGTATGCAAGGGGGTGACTTTGAATGATTGATGCGTTGGCCATGTGGCGGGATGTGCACTTCGGCAAATCCTATGTACTCAGCCTGGGGATCTCATTTAGTACCGTTTTTGGTTCTGGATTTGCGTCTTGAACATCTGTGGCGATATTTGGGTTTGGATGGTGAGTCACATTCGGGACATCATGGGCCATGATGCGAGATCCAGAAGACAAATCCCAATCCACCCGGGGCGGCCGGAGCGTAACGGCGGGAAGGGTTGGAGGGGGGAGGGGATCCCGGAGTACGGGCTCTATCTTTTCGGGCCTTGGATCTTTGAGAGGTCGAGAGCCTTCAGGGACGGGGATATTCGTTGTACAATGTGAGCCGTGCTGAACCATTCAGACGGGTTGACGCGCGTGAAATGAGATGAGATGATTGATGTGTATTTACACACATGGTTCGATCCCGTTCGTCTGATATTTTTTAGCCTTTTCTTCGTTGGGTGGTTTATGCTATTGCCTTGAGAGGCTGGGATCATCCAGGTCTTTTGATGATGCTGTTCTTCTGACTGGGAAGGGTGTTTCTTGTGATTTGTACATGCTTTGTGCCTAGTAGGCATGGATGATGGATGATATGGGGTGATGTGGCGGGTTTTGTAGAAGTCGATCTTGGAGGGATCGAGATTTCGTGATGGGGGATGGGGAAAGATGTTGCCGGGGGGGGGGGGGGAAGGGTTGATATAGGAGTGGTGAGTGGTGAATGGTGGGTGTCTGGTCTTCCTGGAGTGGTGGTATCCTTGTGAGGCGTGTGGTGACTCCGTTCAGCGAGAATGTAGCTCGTATGGTGAGCCAGCATCAGGTTTGACAACTTTCACGGGCATCAGACTCTTGCCCTTCCGCTTTGGAGACTATTCAACTCAGACAAAGTTGACCTATCAAGATGCCGGTATATCAGACGATGGCAAAGCCACCTGTCTGAATCCCATCTCGGCTGCTTGAACGTTTCTCGACTTGGAAAGATGTGCCGTTGACCCCGTCAAACTTGACTCCCTCTTGTTTGAGAATCGTTTGAGCAGGCGGAATGGCGTTTAAAGGATTTGCCATGCCAATGCTATCATCTCCGTTGAAATACTTGACGTTCACTAGAAGCCTTCCAGACTCGATGCCGTAACCAGGATCGTCAGGGACGTTTGACTGTGACAAGTGAGAAAGGGAGACTTAGTTGATGCCCACGTTGGAGTTTCATAGAAAGGCACCTCAATATCTACGAGTGAGCAATATTTTACCGCTCTTCAGTTACTACGTACGACTACGGAGCACTGGCATTGTGCAAAGGAACACAAGATATCGAAAGATGACTCGATAGTTTGACGTTGCTGAAGCGCGACAACGTCTTGCTTTGCGTATTTAGGGATCGGGGTTGATCAGACATTACGTAGTGGCCAGATCTTTGCTATAGAGACGTGACCTAGTGCTGCTCGTCACATTAGAAGAGAAATAGCACTAAAGCTATTTGGTGCAACGGTGTGTCTTGGGGCTGGCTTTTCCTTGACGGCATCCGATGCTAGGTATGGTGAGTTAAATGTCTGTCGAGGCATCAGAGCATATTTTCATCGGCCGACCGGACTCCATGGCACTTCTTTCGGCGAAAATTGCTGGAAGATAATTCAAAGGAGCATGATCAGAGTACCAGTTCTGGTGTTTGGCAATAACCAGATGTTTGGCTGGTGCTGTCCATGCCCCTGGCAGTCAGATAAACGCCCGGTTTTGTTTATGATTGACTGTGGCTGGGTGTTTCCGTTCTATCAAAAGTGATCTATCTACTGGCCTTCTTTATCCAGTTATGAGCCTTCCTAGACATACATGGCGGCACCCACTTACCTACGTCAGGGCACAGTGCCATACGTGGATAATTGCTGCAGAAAGTAGCCATGAGGGCTTTAACGAGGCTGGCAACCAAGATTATCAACATCATCAGATGACATGATCATTTCAGCGGGATGACAATGTACGGACAGATATGGAGAAGTGCAGTCCAACTCTCAGTGGCGTTGCATTGGTTAATCTTCTAATTTCTTTAGTAGCACTATGACCAGGAGCTCTGCAAGCGTTGATGACGATCGATCGATATTATGCCCCATTCACAATGTTGAACTCATATCCTAGGGAAGAGCTGATCTGAGATCCGTGTTTGACGAGAAGAAGATGAGAAAGGCAAATAAGAGAAAAAATCAGGAGAACAAGCTTACTTTAGAAAATTTGTTGGCACTGATCACCTTTAAGCTCACTACACCTAATGAACTGAGGCAGAAAGCCCACCGCTAAATGTTCCGTATACATGACTGTTCGTCGTTTCGCGCCCAACAGGGACAGAGCGAGGGGCGAACGAGAACGAGAAGTAGGAAGAAACAATTCAAGAGGCCTGGGAGAGAAACGGAAGAACATGTAGAAGATAGGAAGTGATGCGTATCCAGGTAGTGAAGCCTTTTGGATTCTTGACAATGCAAGGTGCTTCCAAAACAAGCCATAGAAAACTCGAGGCCGGTCCATCCAGGCCAGGGGAGGCGTGAAGGAATGTAGAGGACTGCTGTGACAACATCATCGACCAATGAAGAATATTGAGCTGTAGCTTAAGTATGGAGGAGAATGAGGAGTGGTTGGAAAGGTAATATGCATCTCGGGCCGCTCTGTGACAATGACTAAGGGGGATGGTTCTTGTCCTCCCGAAGACTTTGTGCCTTTGCGGTAATTTTCCCTCTAGACCTCGGAAACCGGATTTTGTGAGATGTCGAAGGTCTGTACGTCTGTACCGCTTCGCCACTTCGGCAACGTTTTAGACCCCTTTTCACCCTCCGGAGTTCGCTAAGTAAACCACTCCTACGGTGATGGACTGCCTAGTTGATTATTTGATCTCAGAACGTTTGTCCAGAATGTTATCCTCCGATTCAGGGAATCGCCTGGTTTGCGACCAGACGATATCATCCCTTTCCCAACTATGTTCGAAAGGCTTATAACTCAAACATTCGTGATTCAATATTGTTGGCCACATTTCTGGGACATGGCATCGACTGGGTGTCGAGACCAGGGGGACCACACTCAACGCGTCTGTTGGCCTGTTCCTCTATTCAGCCTGCATCAAGTTTACAGGGTCAGGTAGAGAGCAGATATTATAGTCGGGTTCTTCTTGACAGAGTGTTATGAAGCTACTTAGATGAAGAAAATTGAATTACCAGCTTATCAACCTCGGACGCGGTGAATGCTGATATTCTTCAAGGAGCGGAATCCCAGAGCACTAAATGACTAGATCACGCCACCTGGGCGGGACTGCAAACCCCACGTCCCGAAGACGACCCGGAAACCATTGCTGGATCAGTCGAATAATTGGGATCTGACAGGTTTCGACATTTTGAGGATCGTTGCGCAGAGACCAAAGATACTAACTTCAGTACTGGCGCCCCCAAAAGACCTTCATCGGAAGGTAGCACCGAATACACCGACCGGCGCTCTTCAGAGGCAAAAACTCTTCACGGGCCGGCCTCAGTCAAGAGGCGAGACTAGGAGATCGCTCTCTCGGACTTACTACGTAATGGGTATCTACTAGAAAGAAGCATTACGTTCGCTTAGAACAGGACCCGCTGGCAGCCCATTCCTCAAGAGCCCGTAATCTTCCGGCGCTCCTCTGCCGCCAACTCACGACTCACGACTACTATCATTGAAGAGCAATCTCAGAGAACATTTCTTCTCTGCAGTCATTTCTGCGTTACCGCGGTTTTGGGTCCCCATTATCAGAAAGCTTTGGCTTCCCATGCAAGAGCTGGGGGCCGAAAGCTCGTAGGGCTGGAAAGCCAAGAGTTCATCTAGATGTGACCGGGGCATATTTGTGCTGATTGCAAAAGCTCGTGCGGGTGAAGAACCAGATTCAATTACTCTCTCCCGGAAACCTTTCTCCGGTGTCGACTTTTTTTTTCCAGTCCCAAGTCGAGAGGCCGAGACCGGGTCGTCAGGCGCATCCTCGTGCGAGGGCGGCTGCCAACATCTGGAAAGAGATTTTATTGGGAGACTTCTGGTGAGCTAACCTCGGAAAAGACCCAGCAGTCAGGCACCCTCTTGAGGCAGCTCACCAAGCATCGAAGCAAGCGATGAGAGTCGAAAAATTCTGTTGCCTCTGCTCGGATACACTCTTACCAATAGCTCCTCGCGCCAGACCCCTTCCGCTATAGCGCCCCGGCCCGGAAAGCCAAGTCCGGCCAAGTCTGCAGTCTGGCCCATCTAATCTAATCAATCAGATAACACCATCCCGAGGAGTCCTCACCCACCCATCCCACTGAAAAGGTGTCGGGAACCCGGCACTACGGGTCTTCTTCTCGCCAAGCCCGCAGCTGCTTTGTGCTTTTCGCAGGATCCTTCGCAAAAAGTCCCCCAGGGCTCTTCCGTCCCGTCTTGTCTTCTCACCCCAACACCACCCATCCTACGATCTGTCTGGCCCCTCATCCGACACCATGATGGGGTCGCTTCCCGACCTCTCGGTTCCCGGGCACAAGCAAGCACACTAGACGGCCCCGACTTCGGTCTCCTGCGCGTTGGTGGTGTGTATGTGCCCGTTATTGAACTCTGATCTTTGCAAGTGTGGACGAGTAGCCGCATCTTATCAGATCATAGCCTGCTGTTGAAAGGGGACGTGGTGTGCGTGGGTCAAGTTGAATCCTTCCGGCCGCTAACTTCGTGATGGGATGGTGTAGAACTTAGCGAGCTCGCAAAAAGTGGCACGCTAGAAGAGGCGGCACATATTTGCGCCCTCCTCTTGGAGGGTCTTTAATTACAAGGCAAACCCCCCCAAACCACCGGCCGCTTTTCTCTTCTCACTCTGTATTTGGTCATTAATCTCTTTCTGCCGCTTTCCAATTTGTGTGTCTTTGGTGTAAAGCGCATCATGGCAGTGATTTCGCAGCTTCGTGAGGCCCTCGGCCGCAAGCCGGCCCCGGCCGACAACTCTCCCATGACCATCACCACGGCGCCGGATACCGCCAACAACATAGACGACAAGGAGCTGGGTGAGATCCCACCCGACGACGAGAAGCCGGGCGAGGAGCAGAGGGTCAGCCAGGAGGTTCAGCATGGTGTCAAGTTGGCGCAGGCTTTGACCTTGACGTGGGGCAAGAACTCGCTGGTTGCCATCTTCATCTTGTAAGGACTCTTTTTTTTTTCGAACCTCTCGCAAATCATGATGAGACCCGCATCATGGGGAACGATATGACTGACACTAGGGGGGGGTTATCCCTTTTGACAGCATGTGGTTTCTGTACCTCACCAACGGATTCCAAAGTTCCGTGCTCTATAGCTTGACGCCGTATGCGGCCAGCGACTTTGAGTCGCACTCGCTCCTCCCCGTCATCGACATCGTGTCCAGCGCCATGACGGCTTCGGTGTACATCCCGCTGGCCAAGATCTTGGATCTCTGGGGTCGAGCAGAGGGGTTCTTGCTCATGGTCTCCTTCGCGACGCTGGGAATGATCATGTTGGCCGCCAGCCAGAACCTCGCCACGTACTGTGCCGCTACCGTAAGTTTCTCAACTTCTTCTCGCACTTTGACCGACAAATCCACACAAGGGGAAATAGGATCAGAATGCTCATACATGAGGGAATCTTTTTAGGTCTTTTGGCAAGTCGGCTGGTCTGGTCTCACGTACAG